CCGTTCCACGCTCTACCTGTAAATCTAAAGGTGGCCGTGCCTTCGCTGTTTTAGCCCCAACATTGTGGAATAGTCTTCCCCAATCAATTAGATTCACTGAATCTGTGGACTGTTTTAAGTGGCTGCTCAAAACCCACCTCTACAGGCAAGCCTTTTTATAGATCTCCTTGTTTGTTTTCTCATCTGTCATGTCTCTTTTAATTCATCCCTCCCTTTTGTTTTATCCTCCTTTGTTTGTTTTTACATGCCCTCTATGTTTGTGTTTTTGTGTGTTGTTATGTTTTATTTATTTGTTGTTTGGAAAGCACTTTGGATCTCTGTGTCAAAAAGGTGCTATATAGATAAAGTTTTACTTACTTACTTACTATGAGTCTCTCTCTCTCTCTCGCTCTCGCTCTCACTCTCTCTCTCTCTCTCTCTCTCACTCTAACCCACCTAGAGCCGAGGTCTGTCCAAGGTTTCTGCCTCTTAAAAGGAAGTTTTTCCTTGCCGCCATCACCAAGTGCTTGCTCATGGTGGGAACTGTTGGGTCTCTGTAAAGTTCAGTCTAGACCTGCTCTATTTTGAAAAGTGTCCTGAGATAACTTCTGTTATGATTTGGCGCTATACAAATGAAATTGAATTGAATTGAATTTAAATCATCGTCATTACTGTTAGCTTCCTCATCTTCATTTGTATCTGGATCTGGAACCATGTGGTGAACCACAATCACTAGGGGTAAGCTAGCAGTAAATATGTTATTGTGGACCTAATTTATTAACAGTGAATCACAAAAAACATGCACTGGAAAATATGCACATTGCGCTGCGCAGATGCTATGGCATTTAAATGTCTTTCAAAAGGCCAGTCATCATCTTCAAGGGAAAAGGAAATAATTCATTGTCAAAACCAGGGGCGTTTTCAGAGGTTGTAGCGGCCTCTTTTACAGCTAATGAAGATGCTGGTATCATATTAAACTAGATACCTAACACATCTATTGGCACCAACCATGTCACGCTAGCTTGTCGGGAACAGGGTTAAATAACGCTCCAAAGTTAGGCAAAAATATGGTGATGGGAAAACTGCCATGACCATCACTTGACCTCTGACCACAATATATCTGAATGAAAATGGGTTCTATTGGTACCCACAGTCATATCCATGTTATGCTAATCCCATACAGTTTGGGGCGAAAACCTTTTTTTGCATGTGGTATAAATGTGTTATTTTCACCCAGTGTATTTGGATATTTCTGCATACACTATTGGAATTGTATAAATTGGGAATGATTGGAAAGCTGAGACACATACTTCATGCCACACCTGAATAAATGAGTCTGGAAAAGCCCCTGTTCAAAACAGGTAGTAATGTTTTGTTTACACCAATCACTAGAAGATTTTCAGTATAATCTAACCCACACCGTTCAAGTTTACTGTCTGTTATTCTTATTATGCAAATTGTAGAGATTGAAGTTCTACTGAAATATTGATTATATCCACTAGATGGTGCTATTGGTTGATTGTTGGGGTTTTTGTACAGTGATTTAGGCATGCAGGGGATTATAGAGTTAGATTGTAGCTATAGCTCAGGGACTATGAATGACCCATTCATAGTGCAAAACTAGAAATTGAAAACCTGAAATTTAAGGAAACCACTTTTAAGTTTAATTTTCTTCAAACTCTATGGGTAGGGTTACGTCCAAAGTCTCTCAACCTAGGAGTGATGAGTCATTGTTTCAAGTTGTTTATATACTGTACAGATCAGCTGACAGAGTTTTGTATCTTCTTCAGCCAACAACACCACTGACACTCGCAGGATGGAGTGGACAAGGATCTTCCAGATGAAAGCAGAGAGTCTTTAACAAGGAGACTCCTGGCGTCTGGAGTTTGATGACAGTCTTCTGCCTGACTGCCCAAACCCTGGCTGGGAGCAGTACATCAGGAACACAGGTGCAAGGTCAGTGTGCAGGAGTACTGTTATTTACTGTTGTTGATGCGTGTATACAGTATTGTATATGTTAGTGGATATAGTAGTAGTAGTTAGAAATGGGGTTAAGAGAATGAATGTAAGTTAATGACATGTCTAGTGTGACAAAAGCTGGGTTATTTTAGACTTTAAGATATATTGAAAAGAAGAAGAATCTCATAGGTAGGCTTTACTCTCAGCAGATGGGGACAAAGGACCATAGGTATAAACTGGGAACACTTGAATGACAGAGAAAGACCTCTGGTTTTATCATGTAATCAGTAGTGATGGGTGGATAATATGGAAGCTCTGAACCTTGTTTCATTGCTGTGAGGCTCACCGTTTTATTACATTGTTTCAGAGTTTAACCTAATCTGTAGTTAACGCAGCACAAGTACTACAGATTTAATAAAACACATATGAGAACAATTAGGGAGGTGTTGTGATGCTTCAGCCCCAGTCCTTAAGGGCTGCTATAAGTTTTCCAAACCACCAGATGTCACTGTGCCGCAGAGTTTAAAGCCCTGAAGCCTCTAATCTTTTTTTCAACACAAATAGAAAGTAAGCCCAAAACCTTTATAAGGCTTCATTCACCTGTCACTAATAATCGAACAGGAAGGAGGTGAAATCAAATGGCTCTTTCTCCTCCCATTTCCCTTTTTCACTGTCTAACAATATTATTTAGTCAATATTTAGGATAAACCAACTGACTTTTAAACATAATTATATGATTTCTTCTTTCTATAGTAAAAACTTATAGTGTAACTTAGGTTGTCATTTTGTTAAAAGGTTGTTGTCATTTTCAAGGTTCAAATGCATCATGTGTGGAAGAAGCTGGTCTTCCAACCGGGTGATGGTGGTCTTCCACATGCGACTGCTCAACGGGCAGGGCATTGTCAAGGTGAGGCGCTTCCGTCAGAACTGCAAGAATGAACAGTTTGAAATAAATAAAAGAAGTGCACGGTCAGCACAAGCAGTAATATCATGAGGGTGGAACCGATGTAGAAAACAATGCCATTCTCACTGCTGTGTATAAATAGGCTGTTAGGCAATTAGACATTATAATGACTAATGTTTTCTATGCTTAACATCTACCATCCCTAGCTAAACAAATTTTTCATAGTACAACCATTCATAGCACAAAACTACAACTTTTAAGTTTCGATTTCCTCAAACTCTCTGTTGGTAGGGTTACATTTAAAGTCTCCCAACCTGGGGGTGATGAGTCACTCTCTCAAGCTGTTTGCATTCAGATCAGCGGTCAGAGTTTTGTCTCTTCTTCAGCCACCAACACAGACAGGATGGAAGAATCAAAGTGGACAAGTATCTTCCAGATGAAAGCAAAGAATCTCAAACAAGGAGACTCTTGGAGTCTAGAGTTTGATGACAGTCTTGTGCCCAAACGCAAGAACCCCTGCTGGAAGTTGTGCATCGGGAGCACAAATGCAAGGTCAGTGTGCTTATTATTAGTCACTGTAGGGGGTGTGTACTTTATAGGGATGTCCAGATCAAGTTTTTTTAGCCCCCCGAGTCAGTACAATAAAGTTACTAAAATCAATCCAATGTAAATGCTACCACGAAGACGTGGGCAGGAGGAAAAAGCTTTTTATAAGGCATGATGTCAGCAGTCCCAATGGGCTTTCCTTTCTCTTTATTTCTAGCAGTTAGACAATGTAGTGACTAATGTGTTTTATATGATCAACACCCAACATTGCTAGCAAAACGAACTTGTCATTCCCCATTGATTCATAGTACAAAACTAGACTCAGATGTCTTTTATTTTGCCAGGATCACATTCAAAGTCTCCCAACCTGAGTCATTCTCTCAATTTTTTGCAATAATCTAGTGTAGAAGATAAGAATAAAATGCTACCATGAAGACCTGGGTAGAAGGAACAAGACTTTTATAAGGCATGATGTCAGCAGTCCACATGAGCCTGCTCAAGGCATCTGTACAAGGAGTTGAGCTTACATGAGTCAGGCTTTTACAAGAAAAGTTATTGTTTTTTGGGGGGGTTTAATGATGTTTTATATCTATAAACTCATATTAGCAATTAGCGAATTTTGGTTATTTTATATACAGTAGGTTTCTTCTTTTTTGTACGTGGCACAATCAGCATTATCAGGAAGGTGCAACAGACAGATAAAACAGAGCCACTCACACTGCTTCATTGACAGATGATTTAAAGAAAAGGTTGTTTTGCAGGAGGTTTGGGGATTTAGGCGTTGCATATTGGATTAGAGTTGTGCAACCTGTTTAATTTTGATCAAATCAAAATTAGGCTGACTGCCAGGAGACTTGAGGTGACACCAGAGAACACCTGTGTCGCTCAGGCCATCCACTGTTTATTTGCGTACGACCAGCACAGCTGTGGTCAGTCTTCATCATCTGCAAGTCACACACTGAGGTACAACACATCAACTGTGGGTTATCTTTGTTTTTTATCTGTTTTGTATGAAACCACTTACAGGGAAAGTAGCTGCCCTGCAGAGTTTTCCATTTCCCACATCATTTGCTGGGGAGTTTTTCCACATCACGCTTGGTTTGCAGTGACACTATGTATAGCTTGCCCACTAAAGCTGAATTTAGTCTAGCAGGAGATAGATTGCCAGGTAAGTGATGGTATGGTTTGCTGTCTGGCAATGGTTATTTATGGATAGGCTCAGCAGTCTTTTTAGACAACTGCTCTGTTCATACAATTGAAAACTAAAAGAAAATGTTCCCGAAGTGTGATGGTTATTCTGTGTGTTTTGCAGACATGTGATTCTGACAAAACTGCTTATATCTGACAACTGATGGATAAAGATTTAACTTCTGACATCATGATTTCCAAGGACACTACACTGAAGGTAAAGTATCTGCTATATAGCTAGTATATGCATACTATACTATATGTCATGTGTTATTTCCAAGGCTAAATAAAGGATAAGTTAATAACAAGAAATAATAATATTTCCTCTTTATTACTGATAACAGTAAATAATGAAACCCTTAACCTGAATGGTTTAATTCTTAAAACTGCTTATATTGAAACTGTTGTAATTGTTGTTTTACAGCCTCTCCCTCCAACAGTCAGGCTGGTCATGTTTCTCATTCTTATACCAGGTAAGCTTTTTGTTAAGTCAAGTATTCAGTTTTAGGCATGATGTCTACCTTACATTTAAAGGTTTTATCAAAAAACATAACCAACAAGGCAGCATCAGCAATAAACAAATATTCAAAACGCATTTACAATGTGTACTGTATGTGCAAAACTGTAAGCAAAATGCTGGAAGATTCAAATTCCTGTGTATTGTGTATTTAATTGGTTACTGTGAACTATAGCTGAATCAATCCTCAGATTTTTTAATCCACCTATTTGGTTTAAGGTGTTTTGTTGAAAATCACAGAAGCTGAAGCATGTTTATGACTGAACTTTTGTTTGAATCCTCTCATCAGCTCTGTGCAGTGCCATTGAGGTGAACTGCTCTGAGCCAACCCAACCTGCCCTGCTGGAGGCTCTGACTCCAATCTTTAACATGAGCGCCATACGACCAGTCGTAAACATGACAACGCGCACCAATGTCAGCACCTTCTTCACCTTGTATGGGATATTAGGAGTGGTATGTTCAGCTCTCTGTAAATAAGGATAAGAAGCAGTATATTGAGTGTGTATATGCATTGTATCGATAGTTATTATGTTGTCACCAAAAACACTTCTTCTTGTCTTCCAGGATGAAAAGTCTCAACTCTTAATCACCTACCTTTGGCTAGATTATGTAAGTATTGTAATCCTCCATCTTAATTTTTCCATTAGTGATGTAGGGATAATTGGATTATTTTTTGTGAATGTTGTGATTATTACTTATCTGGTCTGTGCACTGACACCAGTTTGGATGTTTTAGTGGTGGAAGAACGAGCTTGTCTTTTGGGACCCAAACCAGTGTGGCACCGACAAGATTTCTCTTCCCAGAGACAAATTTTGGGTGCCAGATATTGTAATCAATGAATTGTAAGTTCCATTGTACTTGACCATTTATATATTCTGTCAAAGCATGCACTGTATGTGCCAGATACAACAGAGTCATCTTAACATGCTCTTACGATGCATACTTGTTAATAGGAGGGCTGGTTTTATGCTATATATTTTCCTTGTTGTCAACAAATCTCATGAAAAGTCCACCTGGCAGGAAAAAGTAAAGAAAAATGTTGTTCTGTTTGTAGCAGTAGAAAAATTAAAGGTGCCATGCTCTAATTTTGCAGACCTTACACTCATAACTCCTCTGCATGTTCCTGTCTTGCAGTATGGATGAAAACACAGCCCCTCCTGTCCCGTATGTGTACCTGTACAGCAATGGGATGGTGCATGATGCTCAACCAGTCAAAGTTGTCAGCTCCTGTAACCTTGATATCTACACCTTCCCCTTCGACATACAGAACTGCACTTTCACTTTCAACTCCTACATCCACTTGGGTGAGGCACTTCACCAAATTACTTTTGTATTCCAGTTTGGACAAAAGCATAAGAACTGTAAATCAAAAGAGGCAGAAAGTAATCCTTGTCCCTTACTGTGTGTGACCAATAATGCTTGACACACTGTCCTAATATCAGTTTCTATTTTGAGACAACCAGCAGTGCTCATTTTCCTTGACTTTATGGTATAATATATTTCTCTACTCTCCTCTTGCCAGCGATGGACATAATGATTTTCCTGGGAAAGTCTGCAGAAAACATCACAAAGAAGTCTAAGAACGTGATGACCACCATGGGGGAGTGGGAGCTGCTGGATATCACGTCGCACAAAGACAAATATGGACATGATGATGGTCAATATATTGATGAGCTTTCATTTCATGTAGGTTGACTGTCTAATGTAAATTATTAATTTAAGAGCGTATATTGTGGTTTAAAGCAAGCATGCCTATGTTGTGTTTACCTTTCCCTCTGCAGATCAGAGTGAGGCGCCGGGCAACCCTGTATGTGGTGAACCTGCTGATCCCCAGCTGTTTCCTCATCACAGTGGACCTCTTCAGCTTCCTGCTGCCTCCCCAAACTGTGGACCGATCCTCCTTTAAGATGACCCTCATTCTGGGATACACAGTCTTCTTGCTCATCATGAACGACCTGCTGCCTATCACTGGAAACACCATACCTCTCATAAGTCAGTGTTATTCAGTCTCAGCAAAAGGTCTTTGTATTTACTAAAACCTGTTACATGTGTATCTTGCTTTTAAATGTGTTATATTCTGCTGTTGCTTTAGTTGTTACTACTACTGCTGTGTGAGGAGTGTAGACTGCCAGCTATGTTATGGTCAAAAGTGTAAAGGATGATGCAGCAATGATGAACCTTTTTTCTTGATGCTATTATACATTAATCAATGAGTTAGAGAACCAAGCTAGAAAAGCCAATCTAGAGTATTTGTATGAGTCTAAAACAAACTCTTTCAGTGAAAATGGTGGATCCAGGTGTCCTTCATTCATCTCTTTGCCATCATAATTAAAAAGCTTCCAAGTGTGTAATAAATTGTGTGCAATCTTCCATGCTCTATTCTATAAAAGATACTGTGGGTAAGGTATGTTTAGATTTACATGCTTACATATGCATTTCCAGAAGGGGAACAGAGAGGTTTTAGCTGTCCACCTGCTGAATATACAGTAAACTATAAAACACATTCAGACAGTGCAAACGTTTATTGATTCTAGCCTCACTTCTCCCCCCTGTCCATCTCTCTGTCTGTCTCTCTCTCTCTCTCTGCCAGATGTGTTCTTCTCTCTCTGCCTGGCTCTTATGGTGACCAGTCTACTGGAGACTATCTTCATCACTAATCTGCTGAGCGGCTCTGCTGACTTCTCTCCCCTCCCTCGCTGGGTCCGAGTGTTTGTTCTGCAATTCCTGGGCTGTCTTGTTTGCCTGCCTCAGAAGACTAAAGAGCCAAAGGGTTCAGGTATACAGTTTATATGTAGTTCGACATATATAGAGCTGGATCAGCTGGATCGACATGATTGTTTATAGCAATTTCCTGGATTGCTTATTTTAAATTCAACCTTTTCGTTCCTTGAAAACCAGACATAAAATTCAGCACTGCAATGGCACAGCGAAAAGCTGACGAGGGGCCTCCGGGGGAGATGATGCTGGTGGCTGAGGGCAAGGCCGTTCAGGAGCTGAGGAGCCTGGGCAGGGACCTCCAGGCCATCCGCCTTCAGGTGGAGCAGCAGCTGTGTGGAAGCAAGAGCTCAAAGGAGTGGATCCAGGTGGGTTTCATCATAGACCGCCTGCTGTTCGGCCTCTACATGGTCTTCATATCAATCAGCTTCATTACCATCATCATTATCTGGGTGAACTCATACAGTCAGTAGACAACCGCTGTCTGTTTTAAGGGGCTCCATTTATGTAGCTAGAGACTAAAATGTTTGTTGAAGTTTTATCAATACACAATCATTTTGTTCTGCATTCACGTGATTTGTTTTGGAGCCAAGACATTTATATAAAATCTAAAGTTATTGTATCATTGTTAATAATAACAAAAGATCATATTATTGCTATTGGGAATTAAATTAGCTCTAGTATATTAACTAGATGTAGTTGTAACCCTTTTGTGTTATATTGAAACAAATGTATACAAAATAAAATTACTTGAAAAAATTCATTCAGTTTCCCATTGACATTCATTTCAAATATAATAATCATCTTCCAATTGTTTTTCTATTTATTTATTCATTTATAAAGTCAGTTTTGAATTAGAAAATGTAGTATCTGCTAGCAATGGCTCCACCAGAACTAAATATAACAATGAAATCGATCAAGTAAGATAGATAGCAGCTGTCATCTGATCTATACAGATCATAATTTTAACAAAACTAAAAAAAAAAGGTTCCTGAAATAAGCAGGTAGAAAATACCGAAAGATATTGAATTGATAAAGACATATGTAGCCAAACAATAATTCATTTGTAAAATATGTTTAATGAATGACAACAATGACATGTCAATGTGACTAATGACTTTACCAAATCTCATCAATGAATTGTATTTTACTTCAAATCTAATCTTCCATTTATGCAACTTTATAGTTCTACTCTATAGTTAGTTATCTCTCTATAGTATTAATAATACTGGTTATTTATTACATTTTTTATACTCACCTGTTGTGTTATATTTTAGCTAAACATTATTTAAAACCAGCTTACCTTTGCTGGAAAATGCATTGTCTCAAAGTTTTTCTGAGTTTGTGAAAAGCTGACTTTTTAGAGCTATGTGGTACTGACAGGACAGCAATAATGATCTTACAGAATATGATCTATTTCTGTAGATTAAACTGCCCAACCGTAGGTATATACTGTGAGGAAGCTTAACCTTAAACAACAACAGCAGTAAAATGCAAAATACACATTAATGCAGCAGTAATATTAATCCAGGAAAATCATAATATTAAAACACTGACAGGGGCCATCTCACTGCAGAATGACTACTTTTACTTGAATACTTCAAATTTTGCAGATAATACTAACATAATTTTTCCTAAGTTTTGAATGCAGGACTTTGTGGAGTTTTACAATGTGGTATTAGTACTTTTACTAAAGTAAAGGATCTGAATACTTCTTCCACCACTGGTCTTTAGTGCTGCCTGCTGAAAGTCAAGCCTTCTAAGGTTCTATTCATCTTCATCTCTGTGCTAATGTATGGTAAGTACAGTTCCTATCACAGTGATTATGACTTCAGTCATTTATAGTCAGCCAGCATGGCCAGTATCCAAAAGGAAGTTGAAAGGTTTTTTAATTTTTTGAGGAATAAGCAAACTGAGACCACCGTGTGGATATTATTGAACACATTTACTAATTTGATGTCTCTCCAATTTATATCTAGAAAAATGTTTTGAAAAATACGAATATTTGATCAATAAAGTAAAGCTGCAGTAGAGGAAAGTGTTATGTGTCATGTCAATAGTTGGATGTGAGATCTACTTTTACAATCATAATGGCATATTTCTTTCCTGTGTAGCGTCATGCAGTTCCATCATGCTGAACTGCTCTCAACCTGACCCACCTTCTTTGCTGGATGCTCTCAGGCCGGTCTTCACCCTAAGCTCCATTCGACCTGTCATGAATATGTCAACCCCCACCAACGTCAGCATTGACTTCATCCTGTTTGGCATTCTGGGGGTGGTAAGGGACACTACATTAACCTAAAATCAGTTAATTCCATGTTTGATTATATTTATATTATTATATCTACTTACTAATAACTGATTAATTTTATTGAAGTTCAACATCTTTCTGTTATTGTGCATACAACTTCACAGCGGTTATGTCCAGGGGTGGATCTAGAGGGGCTGAATGGAGTGGCTGCCACCCTTAAAGAATGCCTTTCCAACCCAGGTGACACAGATTTTGATATATGAGATTGTTGGCGATTAAATCAGCATATATCTCTTAAAGTCTCCATGCCACCATCTTGCCACCCCATTAATATTTCTCTAGATCTGCCCCTGGTTACGTCAGCCACCAAGAACAATTCACTGCGACTGAAACGGTTAAAACATCTTTATATATAAGAATATGTCTGTAAGGAAGGAATGTATATGACCAAAACTGTCTTTTTTTCAGGATGAAAAGGCCCAACTCCTGACAACGTATATCTGGCAAAAATTAGTAAGTGCTGTTCTTTCTTTACAATCAATGTCACAGTTTACTAGCAATGATAACATCATTCATCTCTAAGTCCACATGAAACAGAAACCAGAGTGAATATTTTAGCATACATTGATAATGGGGGTACAATATAACTGCAATCTTAAAGGCTTAAAATTACATTTTTCATTTCAACTGGACTTTAAGCTTTTGGGCAGATCTTACTGTATACCAGCAACAGAACTTTACACTACATGAGGTAATCTACCAAAAAGACTAATCAATAACTTGTGGCAAAATAAACAGTTTTATTTCAAAAAGAATAAAGACAACACCTTTGTTTTATTCTGTAAAATAAGTTTATTTGAAATTACACAACAAGGAGTTAATATGTCCACCAGACATCACCTGAAAACTCTAGTTTTATATGTTATGTCCAGTAGTCAGGTACATACAATATATGTTGTATCTCTCTGATTCATGTTGCAGGAATGGAGAAATGACTTTATTGGGTGGGACCCAGACCAGTGCGGTTCGTCAAGGATAACAATCCCAAGGAAACTGCTCTGGGTACCAGATGTGGTCATCAATGAATTGTAAGTACCATCTTCTCTGTTGAGCAGCGCAGCCTGAGCTGTGAGTTGACTTCATACATGCAATGGCCTGACCTTGATTGATCCCCAGACACAGATTCATTAACAGGTTAACAAATTAACACAAATACTCTTCTTAAGATCATGTTTTCAATGTTATAAAAGTTTATATTTTACAGATATAACCATATTATTCCAGAGAAAGGAGATCAATAATCATATTTACTCTATGTCTTTCTCATCCTGCAGTATGGAGAAAAATTCCGCTCCATTTGTTCCATACAGTTATGTGTATTCTGATGGCTTGGTGCAAGATGAACAGCCTGTCAAAGTGGTCAGCTCCTGCAGGCTCGACATCTACACATTTCCATTCGACGTCCAGAACTGCAGTTTAAGCTTCAACTCCTACTTACACCGTAGTAAGTAGAAACTGATCCATATCTTATTTTTTCTTGTTAATGGAACTTAAAGATCCCCTCCAGATTTATGACATTAATGAACTAGTCTGCATGGAACAATAACGTGTATCTGAAGTATAATTTCTACGTTGAAACCCTTAAAAAGAGATCCACTCCTTTTGCCTCATTAAAAATTCCACAATTGAATATGAAAACTAATATTCTAATTAAAGTTTTTCTGATGGACACAAAGTGTCTCCTACTTTACTGTAAAGTCCATTCTCAGTGTATGTGTACTGGCAGCTTCAAGTTTTTATATCAAACGTATAAGCTGCAAATTGGACCAATGTCTATAAATTGAATGGTGCTGAAAGGCAGTTTTGAATGGGTTAAATCTCACAAAAGCTTTTACTATGTTGTATTTTCCTTTCAGTGGCTGCTATGCAGATTTTCCCAACAATACCTGTAGAGGAGATATTAAAATTCTCTCAAGAAGTGATGGCAACTATGGGTGAGTGGGAACTAATTGGACTCTCAGTGAAGAAATTACAACTACCAGCTTCGGATGGAGAACCTTACGAAGAGCTTCGCTTCTTTGTAAGAAAATACTTTGGATTGTAACTTTTCAAGTGTACTGTATGAATCTAACTTTTAGTACAGAAAATTGTTATTAAAAAATATTGTATAAGGAGCACGAGAGAAATAAGAAGTGAGATTAACCAGCTGCTGTGTATCTGTCGACACTGCTGCAGGTCACAGTGAGGCGCCGGGCGACCCTGTATGTGGTGAACCTCCTGATCCCGAGCTGTTTCCTCATCACAGTGGACCTCTTGAGCTTCCTGCTGCCTCCCAAGAGCATTGACCGCTCCTTGTTCAAGATGACCCTGATCCTGGGCTACACAGTCTTCCTGCTCATCATGAACGACCTGCTGCCTATCACTGGAGAAACCATACCTCTCATGAGTCAGTGTACAATACCTTCTACTAGTACAAGAGTTACTGTTAGGTTACTTGTACTGTTTCTGGCCTAGCTGTAGTGTGTGTGAAAACAAAAGGCCTAAATGTGAAAAAAGAAAATTCATCAGCAATTTTTCAATTTCAAGATGGATAAAACCTGTTAAAAATTAAATAATTAACAAAGTTTTAGTCACAGAGTTAAAGTGGCTCCTGTTTATATATCTGGCTTCGGATTTTTAAAAAAGGCCATTGTTAGCATATTGTTGTTTACATTTTGCCCTGAAGTGGCCAAAAACATGTTAACGCAGGTTTCAGCCTTTAATTCCTGGATTTTTCTGCCTGGGTTTCACTTCTGTTTGTCTGTGAAGCAGCTTTGCAAACAAAGATTTTAAAAAGCACATATCATAATTTTCTTCCCAGATGTGTTCCTGTCTCTGTGTCTGGGTATGATGGTGGCTAGTCTTCTGGAGACTATCCTCATTACCAACCTGCTGTGTGGCTCCGCTCACTACCCTCCAATCCCCCGCTGGGTCAGACTGTTTGTTCTTCACTTCTTGGGCCGCCTGGTAGGGCTTCCTCAAAAGCCCAGAGATCTGGAGGACACGGTCTTTCAAAATCCTGCTGCACAAGGTAGGATGTTCGACCTGGGTTGTAGTTTTACACAGGCAAAACTATTCATGCAGTCATGTGCATTATGAGCTGCAGAAAAATCATTGCACAAGTCAATAGAAAGCTGCCATTACCTCCTCTCTTATCTCCTCTACAACAGATATCAAAGTGTCCTTTCTGGTGGCAGAGGACAACCAGGCTCCAGGACCGAAGGGACCACTGGATGAAGACAAGGCCCTGCAGGAGCTGAGGAGCCTGGGCAAAGACCTCCAGGCCCTCCACAATCAGCTGAAGAAGCAGACGAGTGGAAGCCAGAGCTCGGAGGAGTGGATCCAGGTGGGTTTCATCATAGACCGCCTGCTGTTCGGCTTCTACATGCTCTTTATAACAGTCAGCTTCATTACCATCATCGTTGTCTGGGTGAACTCATACAACATATCCTGATTTTGCTTTTGAGTTTGTTTTTTCATATTTTGGGGGATTTTGTGGATTATTATTTGTTAACTTACTTTGTCTTATTCATTGTCAGTTATAACTAAGTCCAGAGAAAACTTTAAAGGTTGATTTAGCTTTTGTATTTGGAAGTAGTTTGACACCCCTTACACAATTAGTTTTTATGTTTTAAAGGTCCAGTGTGTGACATTTAGGAGGAACTATTGTCAGAAACGTAATATAATAGTCATAGATAGGTTTTCTTTAGTGTATAATCCCCTGAAAATAAGAAAAATAAGAGTTGCGTTTTTGTTACATTAGTCTGCCATGTTGAACCACCCAGTACGGACAAATCTCAACACTGTAACACCCGTTTTTCCACGACATTCGCTTCCATAGCTTCTCCTACACGTGGAAAGCAAGAGGTTTTCAGTTGGTTGCAATCTGTAACGTCACTGTTAGATGCCACTAATTCCTACACACCGGTCCTTCACATTTTGTTTCCATACTGAACTATTCCAAGTAAAAACATTGCTTTGTGTGGCTACAACCCATATGATTTGTGATGTATGTGTTATAATAATATATGGTAGGCAGTAATATTGTCGACTAAAACATTTAACAACTGCTGATTATACTGTATAATTATACACAGGAGTGGATATCATCCATCACCATTATGTTTCAACCTGCATACATTAAAGTTTTCTAATACAGTTTTCTATGGCTTTTACTTGACCCTCATGTATTGTGTGTGATGCAAATGTGAGTACACATTAAGGCTCAATGTATGCTGTTTAAAATATTTGTTCAGGACTTGCAAACTGACAAAATTATTAGACCTAACAAATGAAATCAACTCCTGAGATAAAGTTTAAAAAAACAGTATCATTAGCCTCTGCTGGATCAAACCACCAATCTTCCAGTTTGTGGACAACCTGCTCTACCAGAGTCACAACCACCTTACCGTAAATACTGTACATTGACGGTTGATCACTGAATCACAGGTATAGAAAACAGCATAAAACAAAAAATAAGCACATGGTTCAACAGCACAGCACTTAATAAATGGAACAGAACTCCCATAGGTCAAAGTGTTGAAAAATAAAATGGATGAATGGTTACCGGAGGTGTGGAATAACAAGTTGCCTTATGTGTGTTTATGATCCATCTGCACATACCATAATGTTGTGTGTTTTACTTTTCTATTTTTGAGGGTTGAATGCCCTCAAATGGATAGAAATATGAAATATTCTGTGTGTGCACTGGTTGGCAATATAAAGATTAAAAACCTTATTTTTTGTTGACGTTTGTGTTTAAAGAAAATAGATCCACAATTGGCAACTAAATGTACATATGTCTATTTGTCATTACTCTGGTTTTCTGTTTGTCTACAGCAGCATAGTCTGCGTGTGATGGTGCTTGTGTATATGTGTGTGAGTGCTTGCATTACTATTACTATTACTACTAGTAGGGACAAAACTGACAAAACACACAGTCACATTTTGGGGACTCATTTAACATCTAACATTTAACCTTACAACAAGGTAAAACAAATTTTAGTGATTTCTCTTCAGGATTATGTTATGGGCTGGGGATAGGCATATAATGGTTGTGGTTAAAGTAAGGTTAAGTCTCCAGAGAATTAGGGTTAGTTATTTCAGTGTCCTGCTAAGTGGCAAAAACAAGTGTGTGTGTGTGTGTGTGTGTGTGTGTGTGTGTGTGTGTGTGTGTGTGTGTGTGTGTGTGTGTGTGTGTGTGTGTGTGTGCATTTACACTGCCAGTAGGAGCTATCTTTGCTTTATACACGATTAGCTCTTGGTTGTGGAGGATATTTGGTCCATCAGAAACATCCAGCATGAGTCGAACTCAGCAGCGTATCAGCATTATCTCTGGTTTACTCTTGATATCAGGTAATGATAAAATACTTTTATTCACTACTTTGTAGAATTCTTTTTATTTTTAGGCTGAAGCATGTTTACCTGTCATCTTTTCTGTTTTGCCCAGGTAAATTTGAATTGACTCTTAGCTTTCATTAAGTCATTATGACGTCTCTATTAAACAGAATTTACCCCATGCTATATAATATCAATATCATAACACTACTCAGTGTATCTGGGTACTTGGCTTTCTGATTTTCTGTTCCATTTTCAATGATATTCAAGTCTACAATAATATTCTGTTTAGTGACTTTGCAGTTATTTTATCACACGTTGCAGCCTGACTGATATGTGATTTTTTGATTACAGATATATAATATATATCAAGCTGGAGTTAAAACAGACCTTTTCTATGTGGATTATGCATTGATTATGACAATGGAAATGTCTGCTTTCTTAAAAAAAAACGTTATAAAAGAATATTTAAGTTAAATATTAACTATCACCGCATATTGTATAATATATACTCCAATACAGATGCAATACCGTTATATCTGCGATGGACCAATATCGGCGACAAATATATTGGTCAGGCACTAATGTCAACCATTTGTAAACAAACATGTACATGCAAAGCATTTTGTTGTTCGAAAGTGCAATTAAGATGTAAGTTAAGTGTTTTTTATAAACGTTTTTTCTCGTCAGTGTCTCTATGTTACAGTAAACTGTCCTGTAAAGAAGGGCACAGCGGTCCAACCTACGAGTCCATACAGGCTGTGTTTGACCTACAATCCTTCAGGCCAGCAGTGAACCTTAGCAATCCCACCATAGCCAACATCTCCTTCACCCTGTATGCTGTTCTGGGAGTGGTGAGTTTGTCAATTAGCAATCTAAGAAAAATAAGTAAGTAAGAGCATCTAGATCCAGATTAAAGGAGTTATGAGAGAATACAGCCGAATTAGGGAATGTGAGATCGACAGATGTTTAGTGTAATACAATTGTCAATCTATATATGTGCAAACTTCACTGCATATTGTTAGAGGGTAGCAATCAGCTTCACATAAGGTTTACCTGTTGTTTACTGTATTTCAGAGTGAGAAAACCCAGATACTCACTACTTTCTTGTGGCTGAGAGTGGTAAGTAACACAAACATAATACACTCAATAAACGTAACGCAATCTCATCCAAATTTATCATGTGCCTGTATTTAGAACAGGAACAAATACAGAGATTAAAAAACGATAAGAAAGCAGACATTTTATATTTATGTTTAACAGCGCATTATTCCTGATTTATTTCATGGCAGTACTGGCACCATGAGTTCCTGATTTGGGAACCTGATGAGTGTGACGGCGTCACCAGGATTTCTCTCCCTGTGAAGGAGCTATGGTCTCCAGACATCATCGTGTATGAGTTGTAAGTTCTCAAGCTGTAAAATGTTTAATTTTTCCTGTTTGATCTGAACTAAATTGTGTGAAGCGTCAGTGTCACTGACGCTTCACCAACTCATCAACAATGAAAAATGAATCCCATAGGCATAATTGTTTCCCCATGGATGTAATTTAATTACCGTCTCAATGTGTTTTTCTTTATTTCTTCTTCCTCACTCCTCCACATCCAACCCTCCCAGTGTAGATGATGATGTTTCTCAAGCGTGTCCATATGTCTACGTGAACCACACAGGTCACATCCGCTGGGACAGGATGCTGCGGCTTGTCTCAGCCTGCAACCTGGAGATCTTCAGTTTTCCTTTTGACGTGCAGAATTGCACATTTACATTTGGCTCCTATATGCACACCAGTAAGAAAAAGCTTCTCAACATTTACATAATCAGACAATCATAAACTCATCCAGTCAGTGGCTAAACTACAACAAAAAAAATACAAAAGGACATAGAGAACAAAAATATAAATCATTATGTAATAAATCAGTTATATTTAGTTCATTTATCTATTTAGGTTAGATTAAATTGTACTACAGAATGTTCTGGCTAGTTTACCCTCTCTGTGTTTTTCTTTTTCACAGTAAGGGATGTGAGGCTTAGTCCAGCCCTGACATTTAAAGAGATGTCTGAAAACTCAAAGAGTTACCTGGAAGCCAGTGGAGAGTGGGAACTGGTGGATATAATTGGAGAGTCCTCCATTCTCAAGTTTGGAATTGATGAGTGGGACATCATTACCTTCTGGGTGAGGGAAACCACTGAGTTTAATACTCTTTTGTCTGCAAATATAATAGTCCCAAATAATACACACAAGTACATCTAAAGCTCACAAATGTTCCCAAAATATCATACATTGATGAACAGTCAGAGAATTACTACCTGAAACTATAGCTCTCCTTTTCTTTATTGGTGGTCTATAAGGTAAAGGTGGTTTGACTCTTCATACTGATTTTTGTCCACTAGGTGGTCATAAAGCGACGACCAGTCCTCTACGTGGTCAACCTGCTGATCCCCAGCTCCTTCCTCATGCTCATCGACATCCTGTCCTTCTACCTGCCCCCGCATAGCGTCGATCGCGCCTCCTTTAAGATGACCCTCATCCTGGGCTACACCGTCTTCTTGCTCATCATGAACGACCTGCTGCCCAGCACAGCAAATGGCACGCCAATAATAGGTCAGAGATAGTGATATGAAAAGGTGGCATAACCTGTTATAGTTATTGGTTCCACCATGACTGACATCATAACAATCTATGGTGTGAATAAACAGTAACTGGACCAGACAAGCAGTTTCCTTAATCGCACTAATCAATGTTTTCATTTTAAAAATTTGATCAAATGATATGTGATTTGAATGGAGTTGCTTATCTCTGAAAATGTTATTTTGACAAATTACACAACTGTTCGACTGACTGAAGGTGAAGCAACAATTAACATAAAGGTAATAATAACTGAAAGTAACTGTAATGGTCAGAATAAAAATATGGTTGATATTTCTTAGGGTTTTTTTTAACATTTACTGGAGCTTAACACTAAATTGTTACATAAAGAGACCCTGGCTCTGAGACTAAGGAAACAATTTAAATAATCATCAATGTGTATCCTTCACTCTAGGTATCTATTTCTCTGTGTGTCTGGCCCTCATGGTCATCAGTCTACTCGAGACGGTCATCATTACCAATGTCCTCCACCACAACTCCATGAAGTATCAGGAGGTTCCAAACTGGGTGAGGGTGGTGATCCTCAAACACATAGCCAACCTCATCTGTTACCGATGGCCGGAGGACATCCAGCCCCCTTCTATACCACAGAAGGATAAACCTGACAGCTCAAATGGTGGTTCAGGGCCGTGGATCATCCAACCAGCCAGCCAGACACCTGCCCAGCACCCTCCAAGCACCGGAGGTAACAGACTCAGTAAAATTAAATACTGGAAGTATGTAAATAAAAAATCCCATTATTATTTTTGCTCATTATTCTTCATTTCTATAAACATCTAAAATAAATAATAAGCAGCTTTTTTCTTATAAATATCTGAATTTGGCTTCTCTCCCTGGTGGAGCTGGCCCCCATTGTACCAGGGCTGAGTCCTTGCTGCAGTGATCATGGGTATTAAAAAATTTAGTAATGTGTAAATTGGCTGCTAGGAAACACCTGTAGCAGTCCAATCAAAAGCACTCAACTGTGTCAACAAGAAGTCACTGTAGCATCACAAGTAGAATAAATGTTTTTTGTGCTAATCCTTTTTAAATGTAAGTGTGATAAATGGTTAGATAAATATGTTACAATAGTTACAGGTGGCATTCACTGGGTGTATAGACTGTGATCCATCACCACCCTCTTCCTACCAGATATAGCTTCTCTGCCTGAACTGCAACAGATCTGTCAATACCTTGGCGACCTTCGTGCCCACCTCATCTCACTGCAGAAGGAGAGCGAGCTGCAAGACCAGTGGTGCCACGTAGGATATGTCCTCGACTTCCTGCTCTTCCGCATCTATCTGTTGCTAATCTCCTGTTACGCCCTGGTGATCATCTCCATGTGGTGCATCTGGATCAGCCAGACATGAATCGGATGTGAAGCAGGGCTGGGATTCAATTTTTAAAAAATGCATTTGTATAACTGTGTTTGATTTTGCAGAGAAATACCATGTACGTGCATCACTGATAGTTTGGTGTCATGGAGGATGGAACAATGGGTAAATGCACTGAAAAGATATATATATATATATATATATATATATATTAGAGTGACCACTAATTCCTCCATGTCAAACAATAGAACAAGACCACCACAGAGAAATAATGTGGCTGCAATGTCCATTTTCAATTATGTCAATGCCAAAGGTAGAGGTGCTTATACTCATACAGGATGACTTCTAGAGTAGTAGTGTTATCTTGGTTCTAACCTCAGTTGGTTCAGATCATATCTCTAAAGCAGGGGCTTTGTTGTTGCCATTGGTCATTATAAATCTGAGCAGAAACCCCCAGGGTTCGATTATTAGACCTCTGTTATTCAACCTGTAAGCTCCATGCAAAATAATGCAAAACAGTAATATTGCTTTATATGATAATATGGCATAACTTCTCTGTCATTCCTGTTGTACCATCAGGTCAAAATTGTAATTTGCATACTTTAGTTTGTGACTAAATAAACAGAAGACATTCCCATCTGTCTCAGTTTGTGTTAAATGCTACTTAGGAACTGTTTGCTATTTATGAGCGGAGGGGTAGCTCAAAAAGGGGGAGACGGGTCAAATAATTATTCAAACACGGTGGAGGGACTTTTGTTTTTATTTTGCAGAGCAGAGATGAGTCCCCACCACTGCCAAGGGGTTTTCGACAGTACACAGCAATCAGCGAGAGCACTGTAGCCATACTTGTTAGTTAGAATTGTGGTTGATTCAACTCCTTAGAACCCCATTAATAGGGCCCCACCACTCACACACAACAAACCGATATACAAATACAAAAAACATTTAGCTGCTGGACAGGCAACACTCTGAGTTTTTAAAAGCTTGCAGCCTGTCTGCTGTATACTGTTTCCCTCGCTGTTTTTACTAATTATAAAAACGTAAAAAAAACACAAAAAAAGTCTAGATCAGAGCATTCCTGAAGTTCTAAAGTTCCTCCCTATTCTATAATCCCAATAAAAGAAGTATATGGTCATTAATAAAACACAAGTCGCTAATGTTGGCTGTGTGTGTGTCTCAAATGTTTTCCCCCCAGTTACTTGGGGGGTTGGGGCGTTTAAGGAAAAATATTTGCCATGTCACACCTCTGCTACCTACTCCCCTGATAAATAACCAACAGTCCCTTAGCAAATTTGACCATGCTAAAAAATAAATAAACTATTGAAGGCAAAGTATAGTTTTTGTACTGGTAAACTGACAACGTGCTTAGTGTTGTGTTTACTTTGGCTGTCACTAACACAAGTAAAGTTGTTGACCCAAACAGCACAGATCCACCTGAAGATGCGTCAGAAACCTGTTGTACAAGTCAAGCACACAGTATACAAACACAACCATCAGATGACCAATCAAAAGCTGAATTCATGCTACAGTTGCTATAGTCTACAGATGGTGATGATTGATGTCTCTATAAATTCATGCTTATCTGGCAGACGTCTGAATCAGATGGAGGAGTCTGTACTTTTTTTTGTTTTGTGTTTTGAGGAACCTTTTCATAAAGGCTTAACCGAGACTGAAAATGACAGAAGTAAAGCCAGCTGAGCTCATCTTCATCTGTTTTATGCTTCTTCACGGTAAGGCGGGACTATATTTTGACTATCCATAAACTAAGCAAAGAAGATAATCTGTTAAAAGATGAATAATTGCATGTTGGTTGTTAAAGGGGCACTTCGGTTATATGAGCTATCTCACAAACTCTACTTTCTACTATCTACTTTCTCTTTTAAACTCAGGCTTTGTTGCAGCATTGAACTGCACCAGCCCAACCCCTAAATCCTTGTTTGATACACTCGAGAAAAATTTATTCCCTGACAAACTGGTGCGTCCTGTGAAGAGCTTTTCAGATCCAATTAACATAACCATCAGTATCAGCGTGGTGGGAATTTTAGGAGTGGTGAGTATGTAAAAACTCTTATTCAAACTTTTTCAATTAGGTTTTAACAGTCATTGATTCAAAATAATAATTAATCTGTATTACTGGCTCTAATTAACTCAGAAGCATGTCTCATCTATAGAATGAAAAGGCCCAAACCCTGACAACAGTCTTATGGCAAGTTGTGGTAAGTTTTCAGTGGACTGACAAAACATAAATAAATTCACATAAAGTCATAAAGACTTTGTCTAAATCTACTGTGTGTAGATTTTTTTGTGTGATTTTTTTATTTGATGTGACTGGTTAATTTATGTAGTAGCAGGGCTATAATGATCATGATGTTTGTTTTGGATGAAACATCATATTTTTGTTAAATGTCTACTGTGTAACATTAAAGAGGATCTATTGGCAAAACTGGAATATAATATTTTTTATATTGATGTTTTCCTCAGTGTATAATTATCTGAAGATAGAAATTGTTGTGTTTTTGTTACCTGAGAACAAGACGTTTTTATCTATAGATGCTGCGGGTCGCCTTCCATGGAGTCCGCCATGTTTAACCACAATGTTTCTACTGTAGCCCAGAACAGGGTTGGTTTCATGGCCACCGTTGTTTCTCCTACACACTTAATGGTCCATTCTGTTTCCCAGGTCATCAAATACAGTCGCAATCGATGTACAGTGACCCTTTAATTTATGTAGAGGCAGGGCTGAAATGATTTTCTGAGTTGTCCATTACATTGGTATTGTTCTGTTTAATGTAGCAGTGGAATATTGAGGGGCTGAGCTGGGATGAGAAGGAGTGTGGAACCACAAGAATCTCTGTCCCTCGGGAAAAGCTTTGGGTCCCAGACATCCACATCACAGAGTTGTAAGTTAAAAGGATGTTCAGAAGTCTTTGAAATCATTGTCCAAATCCAAGAAATGAGACTTAAAGTAAAATCTTGAAATTATGTGAGCACTTGGAAAGGAATGTTAGACGCTGTAAGCCTAACAGAAGAGCAGTAAACCTCTATTCACTCTTTGCCTCTTTTAATCAATTTTATGCTAAAAATTAGGGCAATTAAACACTAAAAAAGTATAATAACACCAACTGAAAACTGTGGGCTGACTAAGAGAGATATGAACTATTTTGACATTGCTTTCTTCTCTCCATTTAGAATTTCTTGGATTCATTAATAATTAATCATTAATTTTTTACATGGTTTCTTATATTCTTTTCCAGCGTGGACGAGGACAAATCTCCCAAAACTCCCTATGTCTACTTAGACAACAAAGGTCGTGTTTATGATGATAAGCCAATCAGAGTGGTTAGCTCCTGCCGATTAGGAATATACACTTTCCCCTTCGATGTCCAAAACTGCTCTTTGACCTTTGGATCGTATCTACACTTTGGTAAGGCTGCTTGAATATAGAAAGGCTGATCTTCAAGCTGCATGATTGGAGTTAACATTGACATTAAGAAATATGTGTGTGACTAAACTAGGCCTCAGTTTTTCATTAGACAAATTCAACTGTAAAAAGCCAAAGCCATTAATGTGCTAAAATATCCCAACGTGTAGGGAAATGTGGGCTTTGGGGTTCTAATAACTCAAAACAAAACTCTGTTATCAAATGTTATTCAAGCTACGGACTTAAGGATGATTCAAGGCGCCACATCTGAAGAGATCCTAGAGGAGTCCAGATATGTGTTGCAGACCAAAGGGGAGTGGGAGCTCATAGATATAAATGTAGCTCCTTCTACTCTGGTATTACAGGAGGGAAGTTACTCTGACATAAAATACTTTGTAAGTACTTTTCATTATTCTATGATCACTTATTTTGATTTAAAATCGCTTAACATATCATACATTACACACTAATTGCATGCAGTATAGATTATATACTAATCATAGTATACTGTTTTTAATGTGAGTATGCATAGAACATATTAAACCATTATATGATAACAGGAAAGGATACAATACACCAGATGTCAATCAAACTTAAAAATGACACTGCCTATTAAATTTAGCAAAGAGGAAGTAAAATATTTTTCCACAAAATGTATCTTTTTATCACCATCCACAATTAGTTTTGAGTTTTTCCAGCAGTGAGAAACTCCATTTTCCTTTGTGCATTGCAATGTTGGAGAATAGTGTCTGACTAAAGTCTGTGTTTCTCCGTGTGCATCGTGTTTTGAGTGCTTTATTGTGTCACTTTCCTAGAGTGAACACACTATATACCCAAAACAAGCTTATAAGCTTCTGAACTTAATGCAGACAGAATAAAGGCTGAGTAACTGGGCTTACCAGTTACACCTTACCAGTTTGATGTTTGTAATGTATGATTTTGTTCCAACTTTCATAGTAGATAACAAACAACATACAAATATCTCAAAGTGTATTTAGTGGTGATGTATTAAAGTAAAAATGAGAAAAAACTATTAACAGCATTATATAAAATGCCAGCATTTACAGGATAACATACGTCCAATGTCACCAGAAACCTAAAGTAAATCCTTCTGAGTAAATCTGACTTCATAAAAAATGTATAAATAAGAATAAATGTCAAAAGTGTGACTAAAATCTTGAGGTGTTGTACCTGTGTCTCTTCCTAAGATCATTTTAAAACGTAGGCCAACCCACTATGTGGTGAACCTCCTGGTCCCCAGCTGCTTCCTCATCGCAGTGGACCTCTTCAGCTTCCTGCTGCCTCCCGAGAGTGTGGACCGGGCCTCCTTCAAGATGACCCTCATCCTGGGCTACACAGTTTTCCTGCTCATCATGAACGACCTGCTGCCCATCACTGGAGAGTCAACACCTGTCATCAGTGAGTGACACCTGTGATATTGTTACTTCTTTTATTCTAGAAAAAGTTGAAGGAAGACGCAATTCACTGTTGCACATGAGCTTCTGAAGCTACAAGCTTAATTTAACCACAAACACTTATACTGCAGGTAACTGAACAAATCAGTAACATTGCACTGACTGTCAGTTTCTGAAAATAGATGCTACAACAAAAAAAAGGAAGTTAAGTTTGTTGTTGTAGTTTGGCTCGCTGTTTTTGCCCATTCACCAACAGGGTCAGTGGTTGGAATGGCAGTGCTGGCTGCCGAATTTCTGCAATTTGCATACAATTTCAGACTCCTTTTCTGAGTCATAACTCAGTCAAATTTGAACATACGGAAATTATATATATATATATTTATAGATTAATTACGATTTACAATCAGTGTGGATAACATTGCCCCCCAAAAAAAATTTCCAAAAATTTGCAAGGAATCATAGAAAAAATATGTTCCTCCTGGGTCCGGAACTTGCCTGTGAATCATGAAGTTTTGAGGTGTACCAAAGTACTCCAGTGAGTGTTGGCTGTACAACTACTACTGCCCAGGTGGTCATAATGTTATGGCTGATCTGTGTGCATCCATCAGTACAGTGCAAAAAGGAATTGCTAATTGGTAATTTGGCGTCCTTTTAGTTGTGCCAATTTGCTAAAATGTAAACAATTAAAAGCAGAAAAACCGAGGGACTCAACTTGTAGCTCACAGCTAACTCGTTGTCTCCATAGCAATGTTGTACTTTCTGTAAGAATTATGGAAATACAAACACACACATACACATGCAGCAAAGGGCCTCGGCTCGATTGCAGGACTCGAAATGTGGTGTAGAGTTTCTTGAGCTAATCATTATCCCTAATCGAAGCAAAGAATAATAACAGGAGTAACAAAATCCATTATTATCAACTCTTTTTCCTGTCGCACTAAAAATATAATAAATTATAAAAATTTTTACATTGCAAGAACATAGGCAAAAAAGTATTACTATTACGAAAAGTTATACTATTTCTATTTCAAATTTGTGTCTTGTGGTTGGTGGCTGCAGTTGTCTGAGGTGGGGGACTCAGTGTCAGTGTCACACATATAGAACATACAGAAATATTTATTGAATCCTCCCTGTTTTTGTTGTTGTTTTCTGCAGACGTTTTCTTCTCCCTCACTCTCGCCCTAATGGTGGCCAGCCTGTTGGACACGGTGGTTATCACTAATATCCATTTCAGCTCCAGCCGGTACCGCGCTCCGCCTCGTTGGCTCAGAGTCCTTGTATTGCAATATCTAGCTGTTGTAGTTTTTCTTCCTCCAAAGAAAAAGAGCAATCGAGTCACTGTCTTCCTCAACCCATCTACTGGAGGTATATTATTATTATTATTATTATTATTATTGACATTAACTACATAACTAAAGAATAAGAGCTTTGATCAGAGGGATGATTTACTTTGAATCCCAGTTTGCAGAGATCCTTGAAGCACCAGAATTTAATGGACTAAAGTTCCACATTTATTAACTTCAGAATACCGTATATATCAGGCCGTGTCTTCTGTTTGTTGGCCTAAGTTTTCTTATACTTTTTCACCGTTCTTTTAAAAGTGCATGTGTGTGTTTCAACATGTAGTATGTGGTGAGAATACACACACACAAACAATGTATGAAATGGAGGCGGCAAAATGTCTATAAGCAAATACTTGCAGCTACTTGTTGCAGCTAATTGTTATTGGTTCTAAAGGTCCAGTGTGTAGGATTTAGCAGCATCTAGTGGTGTAGTTGCAGATTGCAGCTCCTGTAGATATAAAAGGCTGTAACTGCAACAATCCTTATTTTCAGGTGATTATGCACTAGTGAAAACCCAGTTATGAATGTTTTATTCATATCTGTCGATATTTCCTCCCAAATGTTACAAACTGGATTTCTATGAAGTTTTTAACATTGTTTGTTTATTGTACAATAACACAAATCTGTGCCAAATCCTTGACACAAATATATGGGTAAATAAATATCTTTAGTTTTCTATAATATTTTCAGGTGTCCCTGGTTTACTGCAGAGATTTTGCCGCTTTTTGGGAATGTATTGAAAATACTTTTGCCACGGTTACCCACAGTTTACCTTAACCACTGATTTCAAACAGTAGGAAAACAATTGAACTGTTTGTGGTAACCTGCTTAAATTTTTTACACCTGCCAGTGCCAGCCAGTACTGTAGTGTGTAGTGTAATGTAGTGATTAGTAAGTAGTCAGTCTATTTTACATGCTTTAGAATTCATCATCAAACTTAATCTTTTGTTATTCTTTTGAGGCGAGAGACCCTCTAGCGACAGAAATTACACATTGTACGTTTATTCAAATTTGGCATGCTTTCAAACAGCTGCAAATAAATGCAATATACTCATAAACTGAAAACAAGGTCACAACATGCTGGTTTAACTAAAACAAGTGCAACTTTGATAAAGTAAAATGGACCACAACAAGTGCCAGTCATGACCAATTGCAGACAATGGTAGAGAAATGTAAAATTAACTTAATACCCCTGTATGTCGCTATGTTTACTATGGGATCACAGTGAGGTTTGTGGATTACCTGCAGTAAACGGTACAGTTTCTAGAAAGACAACCTTCCGCAGTGTGTTTTAAATTTTTCATTTCATTTTTCAATGTCCGGAGCACAACTAATGAAATTCCAGTCACCTGCATTGTATTGAGGTGGCAAACATATTTCAAAACATCAACAGATAAAACTGAATGTATTTGTATAGCTACATGCCACTGTGAGTGTAACAATATATGTTTTTGTAATCTGGTTTATCTGTAGCACCATAAAAAAAACTATTCTTTTTTATAACAGAACCAACAATTAATTCCAGCATCACCAACATCTCAGAGAGTCATCTTTCAAGCATAACTGGCAATACAACACCAGTGGAAACCCCACCGGTCCCTCTGGATTCAGCCCTGCAAGAACTGAAGAAGCTAAGCAGAGATCTCGCGGCCATCCGCCTCCAGATGGACGAACACTTACAGGGAAACAAAACCACGCAGGAATGGCAAATGATCGGAAGAGTTATCGACCGTCTGCTGTTCGTCTTTTACATTGTCTTCATCACTGTCAGCTTTATCACTATCATATGTATTTGGACCTGGAACAACTCATATGCAGCATGATTTAACTTAGGGGGTAGCTAGCGGTTAAATATGTTATTGTGGATTTAAGCTATTGATAAACAGTTCATCTTAAAAACATGCACTAGAGAATATGTAAATCGCACTGCTATGGCATTAAAACAGCATAAAACCAAACATAGGAACACAGTTAAGTAAGCAAGTACATCTAAGTCATGGGGCAGGTAATTGTTTATAAAATTGTTGAGATTGAAGTTCAACTGAAATATTGACTATGTATATGTACAAGACGGTGCTATTGGTCAATTGTTTGATTTAGGCATGCAGGCTAGATTTATATAGCTAGATTTTATATATGGCTCAGAGAAAAATGCACCACAACTGACTGCATACGTTTTACATGATTAGTATCACACACTATTTGTACATCCTTTGCCTGTTATGTGTTACATTATTAAGCCTTTTACACAGACTGTTGCTTAATCGGTGGTGTAAAGTAAAAAAGTAAATTTACATTTATTTTATACTTTTACTCCGCTACAGTTAAGAGGCAGATATTGTACCTCTAAGCCCATTCGTAACACTAAAGGGATGTACACATTAAGGCAACATACAACTTGTTTTTGAGTAAAAAGAAAAAGCATAGGATATGGGTTATTTTGACTGTAACAAATACTCAGATGAAACATATTGTGATATTCATCACAAACGCGTCATTTTGGATTAATTTTTATTTAGAGGCACAAAATAAAATCTGTTGTGTTCCTAGTCCAATTTTTTTAAAGAAAGGACAAAAATATAAATGAAAACTTTATTGTATTATATTCTATTAAATTAATGTCCGAACACATTAAAGAACAATAACAAAACATTAAAATGTCTATCAGTGGTGGATACAATTTGGGTTGGATCTAGAAAACTTAAAGCAACCAAGACCGAGAATGAAACCCCCACAGGCCCCCTCCGGTGGAGGAAGCTAAGCAGAGATATGATGAACATCCGTTTCCAGAAGGACAAACACTCCGAGGGCAACAAACCACGGAGGATTGGCAAATGATAGTTATCAACAGTCGGATGTCAGCTTCACCACCATCATATGTTTCTGGATCTGAGAACTGACTTTACATACATTATAAAATACATACATCCATTAGATTATATCACATACATACAAAATGGACACACTGAGAAAAGACTTTACAGTGAAGTAGTAAACATGTTGCGTCCAGCTCTCTGTCCTGATACAGACAGTGAAGAAATTCTTACTTTATGTCTCAGAGGTCATCTTTATGGAAATCGCCATATAAAGGACATCACACGTAGGGCTGCAAATGCGAATGAATGCTTGTTTCCACCCACTACCGTTATCGGGTGTTTGGTAGTTGGTTCATCAAGGTAAGGGGTGGGTAGGTGCTTAAGAAAACACTGCTATGTGCGATGGCTGGGAATCAAACTCAGGTCAACTGCTTGGAAGGCAGCTATGCTCACCACTATACCAACATCGCTGTATAACACCAAAAAAAGCCACTGTAGTGTCTGTGGTTTATGTCAGGAACTCGACAAGACGGGAAAAGAGGAAGAAAAAGGAGGAGGTATCAGCAAGAGAAGCTGAAGAAAAGCTCCAAGTGAAAAAGATTTTTTTTAAAAAGACACTGTTGTAACTTCGAGCTGCGTTCTTTCTCCCAGCATCCACGGTGGTCCCCAACGCCACAGGCTAAATGCACTACTCACACTAAGGACTTTTTTGTCACAAGGACTGATTTGGCATGAATGCAGCCTTGCGTTCTTCACAACCCCGCAGTGTCAAGAGTTGTGCAATTTGCTTTTTTTTTTGGGACAAACTGCCAAACGCACTACTCACATTCACCCAAACCACCTTCTCGCCACGAGGACTGATTTGGCTTTGCTCACCACTATACCACCATCGCCATATAACACCGAAGGAATGCCACTGTAGTGTCTGCGGTTTATGTCAGGAACTCGACAAGACGAGAAAAGAGGAAGACAAAGAAGGAGGTATCAGCAAGAGAAGCTAAAGAAAAGCTCTTAGTGAAATTGATTTTTCAAAAGCAGACACTGTTCTAACTTCTTGTAACTTGCTGATATACAATGTCACTAATGATGTGGTTCTCCTGGGTGGCAGCCTTTTCAAACGTGTCAGTCTGTGCACTCAAAATAGTCTTGAAGAGCTGCTGTAGAGCAGTAGAAACTTCCACATCTGGTGTCCATCCACTTTAACAGCATTTGACAACCAAGCATCTTTGATGTAAACAGAGTCCTCTCCTCTTACCCAAGTCTTGTGTTCTGTCAGAACACGCTCAGCCCATCGAGAGCAATAGTTAGATCCGGGTGTTGTGCTGTCTCCACATCTCGTTAAACTTTTGCTTATGACTAAATAAACAGATTACATTGCCATCAGCCTGAGTTTGCGTTCACTGCTACGTAGCAAATGTGAGCAAACTGACCAAGCAATGTGCATAGTGTTGTGTTTGCCTTTCCCTCAGATGTCACAAATCCTCCTGAAGATTGCTCAAAAACCTGTTGTACAAGTCATGCACACATTAAGCAAACACAGTCATCAGATGGGTCTCTGTGAGCAACTGGAGAATACACCAAAGGCTTAAGTCATGCTACAGTCTGATGGAGGAGACTATTGACTTTTCTCTCTTGAATTTTAGGCACTTTTTATGATAAAGGCTTAATTGAGACTGAAAATGACAGAGGTAAAACCCGCTGAGCTCATCTTCATCTGTTTCATGCTGCTTCACGGTAAGGCAGGAAGACATTTTTACTATCCTAAAAATAAGCAAAGAAGACGATCTCTTAAAAGGTAAACAATTGCATGTTGGTTATTGAAGGGACACTGAGGCTGTACAAGTCATTAGTCATTCTGGTCTTCTCATGAACATTTTCACTCACATGCATACATTCTTCTTTCACATGCATATATATCTACTCACATATACATACACTTATTTTACATGTATTTTCAGTCTATATGTATTTAGGGCTGAAGTAACACAAGTAACTTGATTACTAAAAATAATTTTCGTTTGTATGGATGATTATTACTGTCCCACAACGTGCTTCACAGTGAACAGCTAGTTAGCTAGCAGCTACAAGTCATTGCAGTCACAATCATCTGATCATATGTACAATTTGTAAGTAAGTAAAGTAAGTAAATGTAATTTATAAAGCACATTTAAACACAGTATAAACTAACCAAAATGTATGTACGTACAATACATTTGACTAAATTAGTTTTATAGCAGCTAGATGGTTTTGTACTCAATATTTCCAGCTTTTATTTTTCAAAAGAAAATCAGGGAATTAATCTCCTTATTTTGGTTATAAAAAGATGAAGGCAAAAAAAATATTTTAAATAAAGTTCTGTGTAGCCTATAATAAGACATCCTTTATAAACAGTTTATAAGTTAAACTAATTGCTTTTTTGTTGCTTTACATATTTAAGTTTTATTAAGTTTTTATTACTCACAGTAGTAGTAATGTGTAATTTCCTAATAGTTAATAGACAGTTATAAGACATTTATAAGTTTTGGCCCATATTAATGAAAGAACTCATACAAAATACTTCCATGTCCATGTATATGAGCTATCTCACAAACTCTCTACTTTCTGCTTCTCTCTTTTTAAAATCAGGCTTTGTTGCAGCATTGAACTGTACTAGCCCAACTCCTCAATCCTTGTTACATGCACTCGAGCAACATGTGTTCCCTGAAAAACAAATGCGTCCTGCAAAGAACTTTTCAGATACAACTAACATAACCATCACTATCACCATCTTGGGAATTTTAGGAGTGGTGAGTGTATAAAAACACCTATTAAAACTTTTTCAATTGAGTTTTTAGCAGTCACTGATTTAAATCAATAATGAATCTGTATTACTGGCTCTAATTAACTGCAATGTCTCATCCATAGAATGAAAAGGCCCAAATCTTGACAACAGTCTTATGGCAAGCTCTGGTAAGTTTTTAGTGCACTTACAAAAACATAAATAAATTAATGTAAAATCGTTAAGTCATGAAGTCTTTGTCTAAATCTATTGTGTGTATATTTTTGAATATGATTGGAACTTTTTATTGACTTGTCATAATCAGGTACATTTTTTCTCCATAATGATCATGATGTTTGTTTTGGATGAAGCGTCATATTTTTGTTAAATGTCTACTGTGTAACATTAAAGAGGATCTATTGGCAAAACTGGAATATAATATTATTTATATTGATGTTTTCCTCAGTGTATAATTATCTGAAGATAGAAATTGTTGTGTTTTTGTTACCTTAGAACAAGACGTTTTTATCTATAGATGCTGCGGGTCGCCTTCCATGGAGTCTGCCATGTTTAACCACAATGTTTCTACTGTAGCCCAGAACAGGGTTGGTTTCATGGCCACCGTTGTTTCTCCTACACACTTAATGGTCCATTCTGTTTCCCAGGTCATCAAATACAGTCGCAATCGATGTACAGTGACCCTTTAATTTATGTAGAGGCAGGGCTGAAATTATTTTCTGAGCTGTCCATTATGTTGGTATTGTTCTGTTTAATGTAGCAGTGGAATATTGAGGGGCTGAGCTGGGATGAGAAGGAGTGTGGAACCACAAGAATCTCTGTCCCTCGGGAAAAGCTTTGGATCCCAGACATCTACATCACAGAGTTGTAAGTTAGAAGGATGTTCAGCAGTCTTTGAAATTATGTCAACACTTGGAAAGGAATGTTAGACGCTGTGAGCCTGACAGAAGAGCAGTAAACCTCTATTCACTCTTTTCCTCTTTCATCAGTTTTATGCTATAAATTAGGGCAATTAAACACTTAAAAAGTGTAAGAAGATTAACTCATTTTAGTTGAAAATATAATGTAAATTTGTATAAATAATGAAAAGAGTGGGCTGACTGAGAGGGATATAAACTATTTGTCTTTGCTTTCCTTTCTCATTTTAGAATTATTTGGATTAATTAATTAATTAATAATGTAAATGGTTTTATTATATTCTTTTCCAGCATGGACGAGGACAAATCTCCCAAAACTCCCTATGTCTACTTAGACAACACAGGTCGTGTATATGATTTTAAGCCAATCAGAGTGATCAGCTCCTGCCGATTAGGAATATACACTTTCCCCTTCGATGTCCAAAACTGCTCTTTGACCTTTGGCTCGTATCTACACTTTGGTAAGGCTGCTTGAATATAGAAAGGCTGATCTTCCAGCTGCATGATTGGAGTTAACATTGACTTTTTTTCAGCTGCTAATTTCTTACCTAATGTTTACTTAAAGTGTTGGTGAAGAAATATGTATGTGACTCACACTACGCCTTAGTTTTTCATTATACAAATTCAACTGTAGAAAGCCATTTAATGTGCTAAAATATCCCAACGTATAGTGAAATGTGGGCTTTGGGCTTCTAACTCTTAACAAAACTCTGTTATCAAATGTTATTCAAGCTAAGGACGTAAGGATGATTCAAGGAGCCACATCTGAAGAGATCCTGGAGAAGTCAAGAAATGTGTTGCAGACCAAAGGCGAGTGGGAGCTCATAGATATAGATGTAGCTCCTTCTACTCTGGCAATAGAGGAGACGCAGTACTCTCAGATAAAATACTATGTAAGTACTTTTAATTATTCTAATTATTCTTTGAGCACTTATTTTGTATTATGAAGGTTTCACATATTTAATTCCACACTACTCTCTTATTGCATCCAGTATAGATCATATACTAATCTTATACAGTTTTTAATGTCAGTATAACACTGAAGAAACTGAACTATTTTATAATAAAAGGGAAATGAAGATTAATTTATCAAGATTAATTGAGATTTAAGTTAATAAAAGGTTAGATAAAAGGATCACTGGAAGGCAAGACTATAAAAGTGTGGTTTAAGTAGACTTAAATGAAGTGATTAATTGACTATCCTGATCTCCTCTGGAAGGCTGTTGAGTCTGGTTTTGGGAACCACCAGAAAACCAGTATTTGAGGACCTTAGTGCCTGTGAAGGCACATGGGGAGTTAACAAGTCAGAGAGCTATGGGCCAACCAATTTCTGCTTTAAAAGTGATACAAATGTTAAAATCTACTCAATTAAATTAACGGGCAAAAAAAAAATTAAAGGATCAGTGTCATGTGTTTTCATTTTCTCGTACTTTTGCATTTTGTGTTAGTTGTAGAGAGAGGGAGACTTTTTGCTGCATATGCAAATAATCTAGGAGTGATGAAATAAAAGCAAGAATAACTGTTTCAAGATATTGTTTGACAGAAATGTCTTAATCTAATAGATCTAATCTAATAGAACACCAAGGTTTCTACCGTGGCATAATAAAATTGGCGTACCAAATAGAAGAAAATCAGTCTTTTTAAGTTAAGCTGTAGGACATTTTAAACCATCCATCTATGGTGGTCCTTAAGACAGTTTATGAGTGAATACAAGTTTTTAGGGTCACAGCTGAGGTAAACCTGGGTATCGTCTGCATAAAAACTGAAATTAATGTTGTTTGATCTCATGAGATATCGTAATGGTAACATAAATGTATAAATGTAAATACTAAATAAAATCGGGCCAAGCACTGGACCCTGAGGAACCCCACACTGCAGATAAGAGGTGACTGAAATCTCGAGGTGTTGTACCTGTGTCTTTTCTCAAGATCATTATGAAACGTAGGCCAACCCACTATGTGGTGAACCTCCTGGTCCCCAGCTGCTTCCTCGTCACATTGGACGTCTTCAGCGTCCTGCTGCCTCCCGAGAGTGTGGACCGGGCCTCCTTCAAGATGACCCTCATCCTGGGCTACACAGTTTTCCTGCTCATCATGAATGAGCAGCTACCCATCACTGGAGAATCAACACCTGTCATCAGTGAGTGACACCTGTGATATTGTTACTTCTTTTATTCTAGAAAAAGTTGGAGCACGCAATTCACTGTTGCACATGAGCTTTTAAAACTAAGAACTTATATATTTATAAATCAATTACAATTGACACTTAATGAGGATCTCATTGTCCTTGATGTCCATCACAAATAAATGTCCAAAGATCTGCTTAGGAATCATATAGAAAAAGGGTGTTTCTCATGGCTCCAGAACTTGCCTGTGAATCATCAGGTTTTTAAGTGTTCTTCACTATCAAAATAATCCAGCAAGTAAACATTTTGTCCTCAAAGTTGATGTGTCAGAAGTAGGGGAAATGGGCGGCGTGAGGATTTGAGCAATTTGACGGGGCCAAATTGTGATGGGTAGGCGACTGGGTCAGAGCATCTCCAAAACTGCAGCTCTTGTTGGGTGTTCCCGGTGTGCAGTGTTCAGTACCTATCAAAAGTGGTACATGAAGGAAAAGTTGTGAGCTGGCAACAGGGTCATGGATGCACGTGGGGAGGGAAGGCTGGCCCGTGTGGTCCGATCCAACAGACGAGCTACTGTAGTTCAACTTGCTGAAAGATGTCAGAACAAACAGTGCATCATAGTTTAAAGGCCTGCATAACATTATGACCACCAGGGGGCCCAGATGGTCATAATGTTATGGCTGATCCGTATACATCCATCAGTATAATGCTAAAAAGAACTGCTAATTAGTAATTCAACATAATTTTAGTTATGTCAATTTGCTAAAATGTAAACAAATAAAAGCAAAAAAACAAAGTGACTCAACTTGTAACTCAGAGCTAACTCATTGTCTCCATCACAATGTTATATTTCCTGAATTATGGGAACTAGTTCCCAAGCTAATGAGTATCCCCAATTGAAGCAAAGAATAATGTTATTAACTCTCTTTCCTGTTGCACTATAAATATTTATTTTTTACATTGCTAGTACATAGACAAAAAAGTTAATTATTTCTATTTAAATGTATGTCTTGTGGTTGGTGGCTGTAGTTGTCTGAGGTGGGGGCTTAGTGTCAGACTGAAAACCTCTGCACTAGAGGCAAAGAGAAAACATTTATTTTTTTCACAGTTTGTGTGAACCAGCCTTTTAGTACCTTTTGCTCTGACAATTTTCCTTAGCAGCACAACAGCCCTAATGCCAACCTGCCACTGGTTCCCACCTTATATAACGTTTCAGTGAGTGTGTTCACTTGAATGTTAGTATTATGGTTATGGTGTGGTCCTTAAAAAGACATAACTACAAATGTAGTAGAATGCATGTAAAACATATAGTACGTATAGAAATATTTATTTATATTTATATTGTCTTGTGGTTGGTGGCTGCAGTTGTCTGAGGTGGGGGACTCAGTGTCAGTGTCACACATATAGAACATACAGAAATATTTACTGAATCCTCCCTGTTTTTGTTGTTATTTTCTGCAGACGTTTTCTTCACCCTCACTTTCACTATGATGGTGGCCAGCCTGTTGGACACGGTGGTTATCATTAATATCGAGTTCAGCTCCAGCCGGTACCGCGCTCCACCTCGTTGGCTCAGAGTCCTTGTATTGCAATATCTAGCTGTTGTAGTTTTTCTTCCTCCAGAGAAAAAGAGCAATCGAGTCACTGTCTTCCTCAACCCATCTACTGACGGTATATTATTATTATTATTATTATTGACAATTATCAGTTACTATTAGTTACCCATGTTGACCCCTTGACAATAAAATACTTTAAATCAGAATACTTGGTGTTAAAGGTCCCTTGCTTCACATATGAATATTTTACATTAAAATCAATTTACTATAATATTTTCAGGTGTCCCTGGTAACCAGGTTAAGCTTACCTTAACCACTGAATTCAAACAGTAGGAAAACATTTGAACTGTTTGTGGTAACCTGGTGATAATTTTACACCTGCCAGTGCCAGCCAGTAATAACCAAGGTTCAGTTCAGATTTAAAATTTTCAGCATAAGTTTTATATGATAAGTAAGTAGTCAATCTATTTGACATGCTTTAGAATTCAAACAAATTATTCTTTTTTATAACAGAACGGACAATTAATTCCAGCATCACCAACATCTCAAAGAGTCATCTTTCAAGCATAACTGGCAATACAACACCAGTGAAAACCCCACCGGTCCCTCTGGATTCAGCCCTGCAAGAACTGAAGAAGCTAAGCAGAGATCTCACGGCCATCCGCCTCCAGATGGACGAACACTTACAGGGAAACAAAACCGCGCAGGAATGGCAAATGATCGGAAGAGTTATCGACCGTCTGCTGTTCGGCTTTTACATTGTCTTCATCACTGTCAGCTACATCACCATCATATGTATTTGGACCTGGAACAACTCATATGCAGCATGATTTAACTAAGGGGGTAGCTAGCGGTTAAATATGTTATTGTGAATTTAAGTTATTGATAAACAGTTCATCTTAAAAATATGCACTGGAGAATATGTAAATCGCTATGGCATTTAAATGTCTTTCAAAAAGCCAATCAACATCTTCAAGGGAAAAGGGAAAACCTCAGCCATAACCTGAAATTTGTAAAAAAAAACTCAGGTTTGAACATAGGACTTGTGTTTTGTGCTGTAAGTCTGAGATTTTACTTCTGATTATGGAGTTTTTAAAATGGCATAAAACCAAACCAAAAATGTTGCATTATATTCACAAGATGCTGCTATTGGTTGATTGTTGGAGTTTTTGTACAGTGTAACTGTTTGCATGGAGGATGTATAGTTGCAACGCATGCATTACTACTAACTAGTAACTTACTTTACTAGTAACTTAAGTTATTAGTAAACTTAAATTACGAGTTAGTAGTAACTTAATAGAAATTACTAAAATTAGTAAATTACTAGTTTTACTTGTAATTCTATATTATAAAATAACTATTATAAAATGAATATGATAAAATAACGAGTTATTACTAGTTATTTAACAGAATTACTGATTCTGAAGGGGAAATTCAAAAGCTATACCAGCATTAATTAAAATTAGACCATTAGCATTATTAAAGCTATGCACACATTAAAGCACTGATAATTGTAATCCAATAACATCATACACATTATTCTGCTTAATAATAACTTTTACTTTTGGTATTGTATGTGTTTTTAGATGCTTATACTCATGTCTATATGTGTTTTGAATGTATGACTTTTACTTTTTTCTCCACTCTGGTATTACAGTCCTGCCTGACTGCATTATCATTGTGCCACAAACATTGCATATGTAATATTTTCTGATTTAGTTTTTCCATATACAGTTGTTTTTCTCTACAAATCTTGTAAAAGAAATCTTGTAATGTCCAAAATGACCTACCTATTATAGCTGATCATAAATCCATATTAAAACATATATTATCACCTAATGTTGTGTAAGATCGTTTTATCATTTTAAGTTCTTGTGAACATTGAACTTTTATTTGCTATGTATGGCCTGTAGGCCTCATTGAAAGAGCTCATACAACTTGTTTTTGAGTAAAAAGAAAAAGCATAACATATGGGTTATTTTGACTATAACAAATACTCAAATTAAACATATTATAATATTTCTCAAATACTTTGTGTTAATGCTTAATTTTGGATTTATTTCACATTTTTATTTAGAGGCACAAAGAGATTTTAGAGGCATTTAGAGGCATAACATCTGGTGTGTTCCTTGTCAAAACTTGAAAAAAGACGAAGACCAGGAACACCCCACACGAGCTGCAGTTTTGGTCGTCTTGCCATCACAATTTGGCCCTTGTCATAGACGCTCAAATCCTCACGCTGACCATTTTCCCTGTTTTTAATAACAGGGAAAATAACCAGATGATCAGTGTCATTCACTTAACCTGCCTGTGGTCATAATGTTATGGCTAATCGGTGTAAACAGCAATTACAAACACACTGGTGAATTCTCTAGGCAGATAATACGGCCAACATCTTAACAGTGTCCATCCACTTTAACTGCGTTTGAGCACCAAGCATTATTGATGCAATCACAGAGTCCATCTCCTCTCCTCTTACCCGAGTCTTGTGTTCTGTCAGAACACGCCCCGCCCATCGAGAGCAATAGTTGGATCCGGGATGTTGTGGTGCAGCCACGTATCTGTATGCTTTAGTGTATGACTAAAACAACTAATTACATTCCCATCAGCCTGAGTTTGTGTTAACTGCTACATAGTAAATATCAGCATGCAGTAAACTATTGAATAACTAAAAGAGGCAAACTGGCTGAGCAATGTGCATAATGTTGTGTTTGCCTTGGCCTCTGCTGTCACAAATCCTCCTGAAGATTGCTCAAAAACCTGTTGTACAAGTCATGTACACATTATGCAAACACATTGAAGATGGGTCTCTGTAAGCAACTGGAGAATACCCCAAAGGCTGAAGTCATGCTACGGTCTAGAGATAGAAACGTTACCTAATTATTGTTAAACTCACAATTCTTCGGTAGATGTCTGGAGAAGACTGTTTTTTTTCTGTATTTTGAGGCACTTTTCACTTTTCTGAAAATGACAGAGGTAAAACCCGCTGAGCTCATCCTCATCTGTTTCATGCTGCTTCACGGTAAGGCGGGAAGACACTTTGACTATCCATAAACTAAGCAAAGAAGATAATCTGTAAATTCTGTTAAAACTGAACAATTGGAAGCTGGTCGTTTAAGGGGCACTTCAATTACTTCTGGACTAAACTAGCATATGAGGGGCCTTACAAGACATTATTCATTCTGACCCTGTCATAAACATACATTTCCCTTTCACATGCATATGTTTACTCACATATACATTCACTTTACTTTTCAACATGCATGTATTTTCAGACTCAAAAACATGTATTAAACATGTTTTTTGAGCTGTAAACTGAATTATATGCTATATAACGCTGGTGTTACCATTGGCATTATTACCAAATTTATGAAAACCTGCATTTTGTGGGTTAAAAATGGCTCAACTCATCTACTGTTTTAAATCACCCTGGACCTTAAAATTGTGACCACTGGCAGGTAAAGTGAATAACATTGATTATCTGGTTATCATGTCAGTGGGTGGGATATATTAGGCAGCAAGTGCAAACATTTGTTCCTCAAAGTTGATGTGTTAGAAGCAAGAGAGACGAGCAGCATAAGGATTTGAGCGACTTTGACAAGGGCCAAATTGTGATGGCTAGACGAGCCAAGGCTCACTGATGCACGTCAGGAGTGAAGGCTGGCCCGTGTGGTCCGATCCAACAGATGAGCTACTGTAGCTCAAACTGCTGAAAAAGTGAATGCTGATTCTGATAGAAAGGTGTCAGAACACACAGTGCATCACATTTTGCTGGGTATGGGGCTGCATAACATTATGACCACCAGGGTGCTGTGTTGAAAGTGGCAGTCATTCTTTAATATGTCTGTTGTCGGTTTAACTTGTGATCAGGTGCGGTGGAATTAGAGTTAACTGGACACATAATGTAACGGTTATAATGGTTCCCTTACAGAAGGCCTTAATGAATTTTAGCTTGTACGGCCCCTCATTCAAAAATCTTGACCTTTTGTCATTTTATTCATTGTTAAGAAGTTCAAAGTTTAAATCGTGGCCCATATTAAGGAAAAAACTCAAACACAACACAAAATACTACCATGTATATGAGCTTTCTCACAAACTCTACTTTCCTTTCTACTTTCTGTTTCTCTTTTTCAGGTTTTGTTGCAGCATTGAACTGTACCAACCCAACCCCTAAATCCTTGTTTGATGCACTCGAGATAAACTTATTCCCTGATAAACTGGCACGTCCTGTGAAGAGCTTTTCAGATACAACTAACATAACCATCACTATCACTGTGGTGGGGATTTTAGGAGTGGTAAGTCCATACAGACACCTATTAAAACTTTTTTAATTGAGTTTTTAACAATCATTGATTTAAATTAATAACTAACATGTATTACTGGCTCTAATTAACTGGAATGTCTCATTCACAGAATGAAAAGGCCCAAACCCTGACAACAGTCTTATGGCAATTTCTGGTAAGTTTTCAGTGCACTGACAAAAACATAAATAAATTAAAAGAAAGTATCCACTGTGTAGATTTCTTTATGTGATCATAACATTTCATTGTGTTTCTTATCAGGTACCCTTTTTCTCCATAATGATCATAATGTTTGTTTTGGATTAACTTTTTCTTTGCTAAAGGTTTATTTAGCAAAGAAAACGTTTATTTCTTTCATTTAGGAGGTCGTCTTATTATATAATATTTCTATTTATGTTTTCATTAGTGTATGATCACCTGAAGATCATAATTGTTGTGTTTTTGTTACTTTAGAACAAGATTTTATCTACAGATGCTGCAGGTCACCTTCCATGGAGTCCAGGCCATGTTGTCCACAATGTTTTTTTCGCAAGGTTCATGGCCACCCTAGTTTCGCCTGCACACTTAACAGTCCACTCTCTTTCCCAGGTCATCAAATACAGACGCTATCGATGTTCAGTTAGTTGCAATCTGCAGCTTCGCTAGATGTGACTAAATCCCACACATTGGTCCTTTAATTTATGTAGAGGCAGGGCTGAAATGATTTTATGAGCTGTCCATTATGTTGGTATTGTTCCGTTTAATGTAGCAGTGGGACATTGAGGGGCTGAGCTGGGATGAGAAGGAATGTGGCACTACAAGAATCTCTGTCCCTCGGGAATTGCTTTGGATCCCAGACGTCCACATCACAGAGATGTAAGTTAAAAGGATGTTCAGCAGTCTTTAATTTAATTAAATTATTGTCCAAACAAAGAAAAAAACCAAGAAAAAGGTAAAAGAAGATTAACTCGTTTTAGTTGAAAATATAATGCAGATTTGTATAAATACTGAAGAGTGGGCTGTCCAAGAGAGATATGAACCTTTTTGTCTTTGCTTTCCTTTCTCCTTTCAGAATTTCTTGGATTCATTAATCAATTAATAATTTAAATGGTTTCTTATATTCTTTTCCAGCATGGACGAGGACAAATCTCCCAAAACTCCCTATGTCTACTTAGACAACAACGGTCGTGTATATGATTATAAGCCAATCAGAGTGGTTAGCTCCTGCCGATTAGGAATATACACTTTCCCCTTCGATGTCCAAAACTGCTCTTTGACCTTTGGATCGTATCTACACTTTGGTAAGGCTGTTTGAATATAGAAAGGTTGATCTTCCAGCTGCATGATTGGAGTTAACATTGACTTTTTTTTCTGCTGCTAATTTCTTACCTAATGTTTACTTAAAGTGTTGGTGAAGAAATATGTATGTGACTCACACTAGGCCTTAGTTTTTCATTATACAAATTCAACTGTAGAAAGCCATTTAATGTGCTAAAATATCCCAACGTATAGTGAAATGTGGGCTTTCTGATTCTAATTACTAAAAAAAAACTGTTATTCAAGCTACGGACATAAGGATGATTCAAGCCGCAACATCTGAAGAGATCCTGGAGAAGTCCAGAAATGTGTTGCAGACCAAAGGGGAGTGGGAGCTCATAGATATAGATGTAGCTCCTTCTACTCTGGCAATAGAGGAGACGCAGTACTCTCAGATAAAATACTATGTAAGTAATTTTAATTATTCTAATGATTATTAATGATACTAATGATTATTCTATTATCACTTATACACTACACTCACTACACTAATTGTATGCAGTATAGATTATATACTAATCATACTAACTGTTTTTGATGCGAGTATAGGCACTGAATGTACTGAACTATTTTAGAATAACAGGAAATTATATATGTCGATCAAACTTAAGATTGGCACTGCCATTTTTAAATTTAACAGTTTCATCACCATCCACAATTAGTTTTGAGTTTTTCCTGCTGTGAGAAACTTCTCCATTTCCGTTGTGCATTGCATTGTTGGATAATAATAATAATACTTTATAATTTATTTGTATCACACCATTCAAAACTGGTGCTAAAAATTGCTTTACAAGAACCATAATACCATCAGTAACAATATATAGAATAAGCAATAAACAGTGCAAAACATAACAATAAATAGAATGAAATATAAAACAATAGAACAAAATAGAACCATGCTCAATACAAGTCAGATCACAGGAAGGCAAGACTATAAAGGTATTTTAGATAGACTTAAATAAAGTGATAGAATTAACCATCCTGATCTAATCTGAAAGTCTCATTAAAGTTATTGGGGTCACAGCTGATGTAAACCTGGGCATCGTCTGCATAAAAACACAAATTAATATTGTTATGAGATATCCTAATGGCAGTAAATTGAAAATAAAATTGGGTCAACACTGAACCCTGAGGAACCCCACATTGCAGTGTAGAGGCTGCAATAGAGAGAAAGAGAGAAAGTCTTGTCAGTGAAGTAGGACTTTAACCATTCAAGAGCCATGCCACTAATGCCAACCCATTTCTCCAGACGGGACAAGAGGATGGTGTGATCTACTGTATCAAACGTTGCACTAAGATCTAAAAGAACTAAAACAGAGGTCTGTAGCAGCTAAAAGCAGGGCATTCATGACTTTAAGAAGGGTCGTTTCTATACTGTGATGAGCTCTAAAAAGCTGGTTGGAAAGATTCAAACATTAAATTATTGTTCATAAAAGCTAAAAGTTGATTTGCAACTTCTCCAGGACTTTAGCTAAGAACAGAAGCGTATTATTTGGCCTTGCTGGTAAACAAATTGATGAGTTTTTAGGAGTAGTGTCTTAGGCACTTTAGGATTATAGTGTCTAACTATAAACAACACACTCTAAAAACAAGTGTTTCTTAGTAGGCATACTGTTTTGAGTACATTATTTTGTTATTTTTCTAGAGTTAACACACTACAAAACAAGCTTATAGTTTTTGTTCTGCCTCCACACACAATAGCGATGGTGGAGAGTAGCAGGCAACAGAAGTAAGACTGAGTAACTGGGCTGTCTATCTCACACCTTACCTTGCTTTACCTTTTTGGTTGTAATATATGATTTTGTTGTTTGCCAACTATCATAGTAGATATACCAATATCTCAAAATGTATTCACTGGTGATTTCTTAAAGTAGAAATATGAAAATACACAGCACTCCAATGTTAGAAGAAATCTGAAGTGAATCCTTTTGTCAAAATCTGACTTCATAAAAAATATAGAAACAAGAATAAATGTCCAAAGTGTGACTAAAATCTTGAGGCGTTGTACCTGTGTCTCTTTCCAAGATCTCTATTAGACGTAGGCCAACCCACTATGTGGTGAACCTCCTGGTCCCCAGCTCCTTGCTCATCACAGTGGACCTGTTCAGCTTCCTGCTGCCTCCCGAGAGTGTGGACCGGGCCTCCTTCAAGATGACCCTCATCCTGGGCTACACAGTTTTCCTGCTCATCATGAATGACCTGCTGCCTATCACTGGAGAGTCAACACCTGTCATCAGTGAGTGACACCTGTGATATTGTTACTTCTTTTATTCCAGAGAAAGTTGAAGGAAGACGCAATTCACTGTTGCACATGAGCTTATGTAGCTACAAGCTTCATTTAACCACACACACTTGCATTTGCACTTGCAACATTTATTCAACTATTGAACAAATCAGTGGCAATGTCAAAAAGGGAGGAGTGTTTCTTGATAGGGACTATTTCCTAGGTTGAATATAGTTTTATTAAAGTTATTGGAGTTCAATGAGTGTGTAGTTCAATGAGTGTGTGTACATTATCATTCTGGTTATGGTGTGGTTCTTAAAATAAGACACACCTCCGAGCAGATAATCTGAATCCTGGAACCTTTCAGAAGGTCAAGGAGATGAATAACAGCTTTTTCAAGTTTTAATGTGAATATTAATTCTCAAAAGGCTCACAAACACAATAAAACTGAAAACTACATATGTTAGTAGAATGCATAGAAAGCAAATAGTACTTAAAGAAACAGTCACTGAAATATCAAACCTGGGTACAATAGTCTAAGTAAATACAAATTTTCCTGAATGACTTAAATCTCAAATATATTAGTTTTACCACAGAAGGACAAAGTGGAAACTACATGTTAGTAGAATGCATAGAAAGCAAATAGTACTTAAAGAAACAGTCACTGAATGCTCCCTGTTTTTGTTTTTGTGCTTTCTGCAGACGTTTTCTTTTGCGTCACTCTCGCTCTGATGGTGGCCAGCCTGTTGGAGACGGTGTTTATCACAAAGATCCAGTTCAGCTCCAGCCGTAACCATGCGGTGCCTCACTGGCTCAGAGTCGTCGTGTTGCGATATCTAGCTATTGTAGTTTGTCTCCCTTCACAGAAAAAGAGTAACCGAGTCACCGTCTTGCTCAACCCATCTGGAGGTATATTATTATTACATTTTGGTAAATAAATCTCCCCCCTGAAGTTCCATAATTAGTTACAGAAAATATTGTCGACCTAAGTTTTTAATTTGATTTCTTATTTATTAAGTTAATTTCTAAAACACAAACTATCTATGAGGTGGATGCAAAGAACGTCTCTTTCTCCGCCAAGTCCATCATCCATTAATATATGTGTTTCCAGTTTAACTAATGATCAGGTGTTGCAGTTATAGAGTTAACTGGAAACATACTGTAAAAGATGCAGTGGTTCCCAACCCTTTTTGCCCAAAGTTCCCTCACAGATGTGCTCAGATACTCATTTTTTCCTTTATGGAAATTGGTTGATAGTATTTCACTTTCACAAACTCATTCATGTTTATTGCTTAGAGCTAAGGGCCCAGATAAACAAGGTTCAATTCATATTTGACGTATTCAGCATAAGTTTCATATGATTAGTAAGTAATCTAGCTATTTCACATGCTATAGAGTTTAAACAAGCTATTCTTTTTTATGACAGAACCGGCAATGAATTCCAGGTTCACAAACATCTCAGAGAGTCATCTTTTAAGCGTAATTGGTGATAAAACTCCACTGAAAACCCCACCGGTCCCTCCGGATTCAGCCCTGCATGAACTGAAGAAGCTAAGCAGAGATCTCATGGCCATCCGCCTCCAGATGGACAAACAATTCCAGGGGAGTGACACTGCACAAGAATGGCAAATGGTCGGGATAATCATTGACCGTCTGCTGTTCAGCTTGTACATCATCGTCATTACTGTTAGCTTCCTCACCCTCATTTCTATCTGGATCTGGAACCATGTGGTGAACCACCATCACTAGGGGTAAGCTAGCAGTACATATGTTAATGCGGACTTGGTGATGGGAAGACTGCCATGACCATCACTTGACCTCTGACTTCAAGAATGAAAATGGGTTCTATGGGTACCCACAAACATACCCACTTTATGCTAATCCCATGCAGTTTGGGGCAAAAACCTTGGAGTTTTTTGCATGTGGTATAAATGTGTTATTTTCACCCAGTGTATTTGGATATTTCTGCATACACTATTGGAATTGTATAAATTGGGAATGATTGGAAAGCTGAGACACATACTTCATGCCACCTGAATAAATTAGTCAAAACAGGTAGTAATGTTTTTTTTACACCGATATGAAAACAAGGTCACTAGAAACATTTTCAGTATAATCCAGCCCACACCGTTCAGGTTTACTGTCTGTTATTCTTATTATGCAAATGGTAGAGGTTGAAGTTCTACTGAAATATTGATTTATTCCACTAGATGGTGCTATTGGTTGATTGTTAGGGTTTTTGTGCAGTGTGCATAATGTAGGCATGCAGGGGTTTATAGAGTTAGATTGTAGCTATAGCTCAGGAAAAAAATGCATCACAACTGACCTCATAATCTTCTAAAGTAGTTTTGACATTTTCAGTTTTATATGATTAGTAATTAGCTATTTTATGTGTATATCTTTGGACAGCCTGTGGAAGTTAGATTTACAGCATTACATTATTAAGCCCAAAACAGACTGTTGCTTAATCAGTGGTGGAAAGTAACAAAGTACATTTACTGAAGTACTGTAGGCCTACTTAAGTACAATTTAAAAGTACTTGAGTATTTCCATTTTCTGCAACTTCATATATCTACTTATAATTAATCTGCAACCAATTTGATAATTAATTAATGTTGGTTTCATGTTATAGTCGATTATATATCCATAATAATATATATATTATCACCGAATGTTGTGTGAGATCTTTTTATTAAGTTTTGGGTATGTGCCTGAACTCAATTAATCTCATCCATTCATCTGCTACTATTTGTGTTATCTGTTGTTGTGGATTCTTACTCTAATTCCAAAAATCCTGTTTCTGGTTCTCAACTGACACAATTTGCAGTTTTTCCTTGTTTTACATTAAAATAAACCCAATATCTTAACATTAGACCAAGAACATAATCTGCAGATTAAGTTAGTAATTTGCAGCCCTGCTTTAGTTTACTAATTTCTTTTTAAATTAAACAAAAAAACAACAATAACTCTCATCAACAGTCTGGCCATTCTTTTATTGTCAACACAATTACAGAACAAAGGCAAATTAACACAAATAATAATCATATTAACAATAATTAACATTTTTAATAATAGACTTTAATCTGTAGTGCACTTTAAACCTCCGCACGCCTCCGTGTTAAAGGCAGTCCAAGGACAGTGTGCTGAGTTGAGGAGGCGTTTTCAGTGGAGTCGAGCAGTCACTTCATTCAGGAACCGCGAGCTAAAGAGTTCAGTGTTTCATTTAAAAAGCAGCCTGGTTAAAAACTAAAAGACGTGGGTGCAGTTTATCTCTGGAATATTGTCTGCCAGGGCTTAGGGACATAAATATCACATGTATTGCTTTAAGCAGTGTCTCATGAGAGTGTGTTCCTCTCATGAGGGACTGTACACATAAAGCAAAGTCTGTTGAGGATGGTACATACTCTGGAGCCTCATTCATGAAAAGGTCGGAATACATAAAATTGTATTTAGGACTAAAACGACCTTATTTCTGAAATGTTTGATTCAATCAATGGGTCGCATATTTGCCTTCCCACAACATTCTATCTATCATTAACTATGGCATGAATTTCATATATTCATACTCTGGTATAATGTAACCCACTATAGAGCCACTAATCAGACATTTGGTAATAAGCCCTAGATTTACAAAATAAAACTAACCTCACTTTTTTTTAAAAAGTCAGCCATAACGAGTGTAAAGTGTCTCTAAAGTTTGTACTAGAGCAGCGTGGCCAAACCTAAGGAGTCACCAAATGATTAAAAGTCTAAGAAAGAAAGAAAACAAAACATTTAGCTAAAGTTTTCTAAATGTATTTTCTTCTCGTCCAAGAGGATATTAATGCATTTTGATAATGATTTCGCTACACATTAAGAATTATAACTATCATCTACTAAACGTAGGCTCTTCTATGTTGGAATCACAATGTAGTGCAACCCAGGTGACAGGAGCTTCATTAAAAGAAACATAAAACATTTCACGGTGAAGGTTCACGTTCTTAGAAACGAACATGAGAAATCCCCCCCTAAGAGTGACGTCCCAGCTCACCCCTCCAACAACAACAGACAGGATCAGTGCAATTAACTTTACTCTCTCCATTATTCCAAAAACTACAACGTTAGAAAACAGGCAAGTGCTGATTAGGCTGGTGCCATTTGTGCATGGCTGCATGTACAGCAGGTAGACGTGTGCATACACACACACTCTCAATTCCACACGGCTTTTTTCTAGTAAAAACCCCCAACACACACACACACACACACACACACACACACACACACACACACACACACACACACACACACACACACACACACACACACACACACACACACACACACACACACACACACACACACACACACACACACACACACACACACACACACACACACACACACACACACACACACACACACACACACACACACACACACAGCAGGTTTCATTTAAAATATTTGCAACACTGACGCTGAAACCCCTTTCTGAAGTCCAGTCCATCTATAAATTCAACTCCACTAGCTCCACCAGTCTGAATTCATTGGTCCCAGAGGCACATAAGCATGGCTAAAATATCTTAAAACAGGACAGTTAGGAGCAGGGAAAAGAAAGGATTAGTTAAATATCTTCTATGTTATCAAATTCAAATAAAAACCTCAACTGAAGGGGAAGGGCTGCTCAAATACAGTAACTGTACTGAAAATCTTTTTACGTGCCATTTGATTATCTAAAAAAAAAGAAAAGAAAATCCTACCATTTTAGGCCTCAAAAACAAACTTCAGCTAAGCCAGTAGCCAAAAAAGAAAAAAAAATCCCAAGAGTTGAAGCAGTTGCCAGAAGCTGCAATTGTAGGATGGACAAATATCAAACTTGGGTAGAATAGTCTAAGTAAATACAAATTTTCCTGAATGACTTAAATCTCAAATATATTAGTTTTACCACAGAGGGACAAAGTGCCAAGAAGTTACTGCAACATGGCTAGGGTTTTTTCTCATAGTTAAATTTCTCATACAAAACAATTCTGTAAGTGTCGATTTTTTCCAGACTGTGTCACAAGGAAAAGGGGAAAAGGGGAATATTCTCAATTCAAAAATCAAACAAAAAAATATTTTAAAGCTTATTTTTGGAGAAATACAGGTTTGCCAGAATAACTGGCTAACTAACTAAATTTTTTACATCCACTAGGTGTTGCCAAAGTGCGAAAATGTTCAAATCCTACAATTTTACTTATGTGCGACGGAGCCATCTCTCCGCAAAAGTAGCTAAATGCTCAGTTTCCGATTCAAATATGACGCTGGCACACGCAAAACTACCGCTACTCACAGAGTAAAGTGCATGTGTGAAAGGGGCGTATCTTACACTAAATGCATCTGAAAATCAATATTAGCCATGTTCCAGCTGAAGACTCACATGACACCAACACTACTGGTGCCCTGATGTAGTAAAACCTGCACATCTGGCAATGTACTGAGATCAAAACATCTGTCTGCAGCAGGTATTGTCACCCAGGTCTGAGAGGACATGGAACGGAAAGAGAGGCGGTCAGTCACTACAATCATGGTCGCATTGTGCTCGTCTCCTTTTGTCTGAGTTTCTTCTGTTACCGGCACTAGGTCCCACCTCCTTCGTCCTCTTGTTCCTCCATGTTTTTGCGCGCCATCCTCTCTCTCCGCTCTGCCAGCCGCTGACAGCGAGGACAGTCTTTACCTGTCCGGAAGCAGCCGCGATGGTAACACGCATGGCACTCTGAAATGGGGAGGGGGGGGGGGACATCACAAAAACAAGGTTCAGTAATGCGACACTTCAAAGCCTTTCCAGAGCAAGCGTGTCATCTCAACAGAAGGAGATAACAGCTCCCATCTGCTAAACCAAACAATCCTGCAGTGTTCATGGAAATTAACCAGTTAAACCAGTTTGCTGACAGTGACGCGTGATGTTTCAACGGAACAGCCAATCACAAACAGACTTTGAGGGAGGCAGGGTGAGGAGCAGAGTATAAAAGACAGAAGTTAAAGGCAGCGAGGTAGACGGCGGGAGGAAGCAGGTATGTAAGGAAGCTGATATCCTGGGAAGCGCACACCACACCCTAAACCTGTTCAGACACTTCCCATTCTTCTAAAAGAGGCCAAAAAGTGCTTTAAAACTCTTCAATGCCTTAACTTATCTGCTCCAACAGATATTTATGACTACAATCCCTGATATTGTTTATGTGACAAAAAACATTTTTTTAATGAAAGACAGATAAAATGACAGGCAACTCAAATTCAAAAACAGTGTTTATTTCATATTTACATGAAGATGAAGCTTAAATAATAGCAGTGAGATGTAAAAGCAACTAAAAGCATAAATTAAAACATTCATTCTGACATGTCAGTGAGTCACCTGGAAAAATACAAGACATCCTTCAACAAAATTAAAAATAAAAAAAGCAACATGGCTTCAAAACAATCACAGATGAGGCAGCGTAACAACAGGCGCCGTTTCCTCTAAGCTGGAGGAAGAGTTTAAATGTCAATGAAACACTACCTCTGACTCGGAGAATGAACTACTCAGTGAAATCAGCTAAACTCGACTGGAACAAAAACGGACTCTTGTACTGGCTCAAGGGGAACAGACAACTCTTACAAATGTCCAAACTGAAATGTAAATGTAAATGTACTTTAATATCTCTGTGGCCAAGACAAAAGCAGTACAGAGCTCAGAGTCAAAGACAGGACACTAAACCACTGAAGACCATTTCAGTATCAGTCAACACCTCTGGAATCAAAGCCATAGGGCATCCACCACCGAACTGCAGCCAAATATCTACCCTCCACCACTTGTGCAACTGTGCCGAAAGCCAAACAGACACAAACACAGAGCCAAAGCCAAGAAACACCACTCTAGTGCAAAGAATGAGAACCGAATGAGAACGGCTGAAGAATGAGAAATGTTTCAAAACCAGCAGACGGTTGGAAATGGTGTGGAAAGTTTGATTAAAGAGGGAGACAGAAAAACAGAGGTAGGCCTGCACAATTCATTTGTTGTTGTTCTTACAACATCACAGAAAGCCATTTCTGCCGTAAGACGAGAAGATCGATAACACTCTCGAAAACATAGTATCGATTTTCTCATCTATCTGCAAAGCATGTAAGCATAGTTCCCAAAATATGGAACTATTCGGTTAATATAACTTAATAACTGTGACACCTGTTTACTGGTTATTGTAAAAATCTGTCAAAATATTCAGCAATGTGACTGTGGTTGGAATTGTGCAGCCCTACAAGGAAGAATCTACAGACCATAAACGCTGTTAAAAACATGTAAACAGTGAACTTTTCTTGATATGATTAGTGTAGCTAATCAGTTAACTGTTATCAATCAGTCATTAGTATCAGGACAAATACAAGCTACTGTTTTATCCTCTGATCATGTTCACTAGGTCTTAAGGGTTCCTTACCGTTTGCAGCTTGAAATACTGTTTCTCTTTAAATTGCTCTTACTTCTGTCCTCCATCTTTCTCTATGTCATCTTTCTCTATGTCATCTATCTCTATGTCATCTATCTCTATGTCATCTATCTCAGCACTCTCTCTGCCCTCTGCCCCTTCCCTGATCTTCCTGCCTCTGTTTACCCTCCTTGCTTTGCGAGTTTTACGACCTCTCCAGGTAGTCTGGGTAATGATTGCTGGCAGTTCCTCATCAGTATCCATCTCTCTTTTTCCATCACTCTCCCCACTTCTATCCTCCTCCTCTTCCCCCCTGCTCCTCGCTCTGGACAAAATAGCTGATAGATGACGAGGTTTAAACAATTTCCCAAATGTAAATTTCTCCACGTTTTCTGCACCAGGTTTTTCAGTTTCAGCTGTTTGGTCTTTTTCTGAAATGTCATCATTCTCCCCGACCTCCCAACTGGCTCTTCCTTCCTGCTTAGTTCCTGTGACTTTCCCCAAACATCTTTTTTCTTCCTCTTTCACTTCTGTCGTCGCTTCGTCCTCTATTTCTATTTTTGAGAAACCCTTGGTAAGACTTGCGAATCCTGACATCTTCCAACGTCCTTTCCTCTCTTGTCCTACTTCATCTAGACTTTCCAAGCTGCTGCATGTTTCACTGTCACTTCTGTCTCCTTTGGAGATGCTCTTCTTTAGTCTGTCTATGTGAAGAACCTTTAATAAGTTCACCTTTTCCCTTTTTGCAAGACCATCTCCCTTTTCCTTACTCTTTGCCTTATATACCTCCCTGTGTTTGCCATTTCCTCTCTCTTCTCCTCTTTTATTGCACTTTGTCTCCTCCTCTCTCTCTGGTTCTGTCCCTCTTATCATCTCCTGCTCTTCCTCATTGCTTTTATTCCAAGAGAAAGCTTTCACCAGTTTTCCAGGAGCGAAAGCTTGAAATACCCCCCCTCTTCCCTGTCTCTTTTCTGCTGTGTCAGCCCTTTCTTTCGCCCCTTCATTCACATCTAGCTGTAAATCCTCCTCCCCTCCCTCCCCCTCTCTCCTGTCTTTGGAGAGGGCCTTTGCCAGCCTACGAGCTTTGGGGATATTCCAGTCTCTCCAGGTAAGTGGAATGGAGAGGTTGGGGGAGGGGGCTCTCGAGCCGCCCAGGCCTGCCACGAGTAGAGAGGGCTCACCTTCGCAGCGCTGGCACTTGTTAAGCTGGAAGGGGAAGATGATGTCTTTTTCGTTGCCACAGAACTCGCACACAAAACCCTTTGCCTGGCACAGCTGGGGGAGATCGAGGCCAAAGTGAGAGAAAAAAAAAAACAGACATTTGATTTAGCTGCAAATCTCCGGTTATTTGCTGACATTACAACAGTTCCTGATACGTTAGGATAACCCACTTCCTACTTCTTGTTTTAGTGTGTTTTATCACTGCAATAGACTAACTGGATAAGCTCTCCATGATAAAAAGAGAACGGTTATCTTACCACACAGCCAGCTACGTGCATGGTACCAAGTTTAAGCAGCTCTTTCATTCGGGGAGCCAGATCACCGTTGCGCACAGCGGTGAGGTCATTGAGGGAAAATAGGTGAAGGTCTTCTGTCAGGTGACCTGGTAGGCTGTCGAACTGGTCCAGCACCCTGAGGGACACAGACACACACAGACACAGACACACAGACACACACACACACGAAGGATGTTATACTTTTGTGCACACAAGATTTTGATAAGATTATGAAACTAAAAAAGCAGACATCTTACTCTTTAGCAAAGCGACAGGTCTTGAAGAGATTTTTCATGTGAAACAGCTGCACCCTCAAAACCTAAACAATAACAACATGGAGAAAACATAATCTTGTTACTTTAATATACTGTACAGTAACAGAAACACACAGCTTTGCAGTTGAATGCATGTTGGAAGGAAGAGGGAGGCCAGGTTCAGTTATTACATTTAAGTGTTTCAGTGTCCCTGCCAGCTGATTGAGGTCTGAATGTCTCCTCGTTCTATTTCCCAGTAGGTAAAAGCTGTCTTGACACACTTTTCTACAATTGTGTATGATTGTATCCATCAATGAAAGTGTATTCTTGCTCTTTCAGCACAATTCTGTCTAATCATATAATTTAAATCACACTGTTAAAATTAAGTTAGTGCACACCAAAAGTAATTAGATTGAATATTACATTTTGTGTTTATAGACTAACAACCAAAAGCCCAGAGAATACATTACTCATGTGACTGCTTTGGTCTGCTGTATAATTAAACTCTAATACTTAAAGTACTGTATGTGTCACACAGTCTTGCACTAATGTCGGCTACTGAGGGAATTAGATTAAGTTTATTTCTCAGTATCACCTCACTGTTTGTTGTCATTAGCATAAATGGTTCTATTCATTCTGGTTTTCCACACAGATAATTTGAGTATTTCAAGCAGCAAAATAAGTCACAAGTTCAGGGTCACCCTATTATAATTAGGATAATTCATGTTCAAAGAACGCAGTACCATTTTAAATGACACAATCATCAGTTTATCAGACAGAACTGAAAATGGTTGTTTTGGTTGGATTCCCACTAGTTACTGGGGGGAAAAAAAACTTAACATAGCCAGAATTTTGAACCCTCTGGTTAATGTGGAATTTCCCATCCCGCTGCTGCCTCTGTGCTCACCCTGACAGTCTCCAGAGCTTTAAACTTCTTGTACAGGCCACTGTTGATGTCGTTGGGGTTGAACAGCGGGTCTCCCGCGATCTTGCTCAGCAGGTCCCGGGCAAAGTTGCTGACATAGTATTTGCTGAAGTCCCACTTCCTCAGTACTCGGCCAGGAACCACCGCCTGGGCGTTCTCATGGCAGCACTGGCAGAAGTAACGGCCGAGGTATTCACAGTAACGCATTCGCTTGATATAATCTGAAGTGTGGAGAGGCAGAAGAAACAAAAGGGGGGGTGATACTGTGTCTGAGAACAAAAATCTCTGCATAGCATTTCTACACATAAAAGGGAAATGCCACAAAGTTGGGAAAAAAGTCTTATAGTTGCACACAAAAAAAACAAGAACTGAAACTGAATGTAAACAGACTTTTGTTTGATTAATAGAGATGTGTACTTCTGTACTAGTCATACCTGGGTCAATGCGGGTGCCACAGCCAGCGCAGCGGTAGTTTTGTTTAGCCACAACTATCTTCCTCCTGACAGGGAAAAAAAAGTCACAACAACAAAGATTAAACAAAGGACAAAGAGCGAGGACAGTGGGCAAAAATAAACATCTTGCAGAGCTCAAAACATGTTACATTACAGCCACTTATGTCGGTCTTTTGTTCTGTGTGTGCGAATGTGAAAGCTTGTAGATGTCTGCGTGATTTGTGCCGTCAGAAGCAATAAATAAGCATGAATAAATATTTGCAATTTTTCAAGCAACATCTCCTTGGGCCTTTTCGGGAAGCTGTATCTGATGTGGATGCCAAACCGGAGAGGAAAGACTTAAAGTTTTGCTCCAAGGTCTTGCTGTCTCCACATAGTTATTATAAGAGGTGTTACATAAAGAGATTAAGCCTACAGCCGTTTCTGAACCAGAAAAGCCTCAATCATTTAAAATGCTTTAGGCTCACCGAGTCAATTCTACTGTAATTTGCATTTCATTAGCAAATATTTACGCCAACTCTGTGGTATTTGTCATGAAAGAGATAACAAGTGATGACAAGTGAATGGCAGATTAAACCGAGGTAAAACCTGGTGTGGACTCACTTTGGAGCGGGATGAATATTGAAGATGATCTGCGGTCGGGGCGGCGCCCACTCTAGGTTTCCTCGAACCCGAATCCTCAGCTTGTAGATGTCGGCGTGTTCGCCATCATCAGGCGAGATCGGCAAAGAGTCAGGTATGGGCAGCAGCTAGGAGAGAGCGAAGATGCTGAGTGAATTCAAAGTTCAGTTCTGTTGTGTGAATAACAGGAAGTACATTTGGAAGAGTCCCAAATACTCCACATTAAGTTTTTACCTTTTAATCTTATTGTATGTTCAGTGCCATGTGTAAGATGCTGTACCTTCTGTGGAGCGTCGTGTTCTGGGACCAGCCAGTCGAGCTCAGAGGCTGCAGGAAGCTGCATGCCCTCAAACTGCCTGAGTAAACCCATGGCTACTGACTCAGCTGAGTTAGACTGGAGGAAGGATGGAGAGCTGAAAAAGGAGGACAGAATATACAATATTATTTTAGAAATATGTGTTTCTCTTTAGCGGACATAAAATCCCCAATGTGGTTCATATTAACTGCTAATTCTTTTAAAATTTAAATGAAGGTCTCTGATGAAGGGAAACAGGAAATGTTACTTACATGGACTCTGAACTGAGAAAAGACCTGCCGCTGGAGCTTACGCTGCGCTTAATGTCTGCATCTGGAAGACAAAGCAATTGTAAACTAAAAGAGATTTAACTCCTTAGGAGCAGTGTATTAGTTGTATCCACCAGCCATAGATACTTGCTTAATACTTGTATAATAATATCAAATTTTTATGATTTGTTCAATTGGAAATACTGTTAACTGTAAGACGGGATGAATTTGTCTGGAACAAACTTCCAAAGCAAAATTAAGCAGCAGTTGGCTGGTGGATGGCATTCATTTTTCCACAAATGGCACTATTTGCTACAGCTAAGCAACTTTTTTTGTTTAAAGAAAAATGTGATTAGGGACACACAAAAAAAAAAAAAAAAAAAAAACTCTCCTTAAAGATACAGAACTAAAAGTCCCTAAAAGCCAAATCACATCTCTGATTAAATTCAAGCATGTTTTAAATGTAATTTAGCAGGTAGCATGCAGGAAAGCCAGAGATTCAAAGGCAGAGCATTGCTACCACATATGCTAACACTCAACAAACAACATGTAAGCAAAGACATTAAGCAGCACAGGTTTGGTAGAATAGAAGAAATGCCTGTATGAATTCTTGTATGAACAGCTTCTTGCTATCAGAAGATCAACATTCTTGTTAATTCATGTAAAACATTGGTTAGATCCAGAAAGCTTCTGGGTTTCAATCAGTCAAAGTCCAAAATCTGTTTGAGCAAGTTAGTCAGCTGCAGGGTTCAACAACTGCCTTTGGCTGTTTATGTGCTAAAATTGTTAAAATTGGAATGATTGTAAAAAAAAATACAAAATAAAAATATATAAATCAATAAGTTCTTGCATAAACACTAATCAGATTGGCTATAGCATTGGTCTGTGTGAATATCATCGGCCTGCACTTACAGTTCAATACTACAGGCACAGGAGGATGTTCATCAGTGGCACACAGCAACAAGCAGATAAGAGCAGAAAGGGCACAGTGATGATTTTTGGTGATTTTGTATAATGCATAACTGCAGCACAGTCAGTGCAGAGTAACTGAGCTTGAGAGGAATATTTGATCACTGGCATTAGGCAAGAATGCTGTTACAGTAACTTTCAATTCGTATTTTCAGCTAATCAGTACTAAAATGCAATCACAGACATGATTTAGGTTTAAATTCAATAGGATTAAGATTAGGTTGAAGGATTTTGGTTAAATTTAAGTTAAGTTATTTATTTTGAATAAGGGATGTAATTATGTGTAAATCATTTGGGATTATTAGGCTAGATGCATTCAATGTTCTTTTCATTAAGCTGAAACAGTTGAACATAAACAGAAAAATGTATCACTTAATGCAGGAAAACGTGACATTTTTATCAACATCACAATATCACCATGACCAAAATCCAAAGAGCAATATCTGGTCTTATACTGCCTCACAATGTGATATTTGTATGTTGTCCAACTGTAATTACTCATGTTTATAGACCGTTTCATACAAATCAGCCAGTGGGCTGCTGATAAAATGATCACTTTGCCATCACATTCTGCCATCAGCAGTCATACAAAGTACCCCGTTTTTTAGAGACAACTAATATTGACTTCACAATTTGAAAAGAACACCAAGGTGGAATGATGTGTGTGTGACAGCAATCACACCTCATTCTCACTGGAGTCGCCTTGGAGATTATATGAATAATGGGGTGGGGATGAATAGATGAATTAATCAAGTTAATAATCCCTGTAGCTACAGACGCCACAGAATGAAACTAAACTCTGACACGTACAGGCACATTTATCCAACCGCACCACCAAAACCCTGGAGCACTGAGCAACAAGCAACAACACAAACAGCCAAGTGCACAATTCAGCTGAGGCGAGGAGGCAGCTGGACCGACTCCAAACTGAAAACCTGCTAAGACACATTTTTTGTAGGATACTGGAAAGCCATACAAGGAAAAAAGATCTTTTTCATCTGAATAACACGGTCACTGATTACAAAGACAAAGGGTGAAAACATCTTAACTGATTACCCTCCTGGTAAAGACTAAAATGGTTTTAAATTGAAGTAGTTGGCCTCAGGATGGTGTTTATTACCAACTTTTACAAATTTCAAATTAATGCACCAGTACTGGATCATCTTCCCATCTTTTGACAATCATACAGATATCTTCTGTCCAAAAACATGTATATTTTCAGCTACTTGTGATTCTTCAATAGACTCCCTTTGGGCTAAACAATTTTAAATTAGTAAATCAACCCAATATTAAATGTTAGTAATGTTGGTCTTACTGTTAATTTAAAAATAATTCTTTAGTTATGCTTTTGTGAAAACAGTTTGTATAGTACTTTGGCCATCATTTTAGCAGTTCTCATTCCCTTTTTTTCAGGCTGGTTTTGCATGACCTCAAGTGCAAATACATACAGTCATGCAGAATCAAAAGTGAAAGTCAGTCCATGGATTTACTAAAAAGTAATAATATATATATATATATATATATATATATTATTGGTATTCTAAGTGTCTTCAACTCACTGAGAGTTGTGTACACTGGAAGATTTGTGCAAAACCAATCAGTATGATTAAATAAAGATAAAAAAAAAATGTGCGATAAAGAACTAAAAATGGTGGAGTTATGGTTGAAGTGCCACCCAGTTTAGCAGAAGGGACTAAAAGACGCAAAATTCTCAGTTTGGATTGGAGCCATTAGCCTCCTCCCAGAGGAGCACCGCCACAGTAAACAGTCTGTATGTAGCTGTGGAGCCTCGTCCACCCGTCCAGCCTTTAGATACCTGAGAAGAGGGAGGCGAGTGACAGGGAGAGGCCGTTCTGAGACACCGCCAGCAGGGACTGACCCTCACAGCCATCTGAGAGACAGAAACTAACACTCAGCACAACCGTCACCACAAGCACAAACATTTTCAACACTCCACAGAGCTGTGTGTCAGTGTCACAGGCAGAACAGTACAGTATACTGCACTGATACAGTACATGTGGAAGTCATGCAGTTATACAGCCCCAAGATACAACAAACTTTGTGTGCTCACACCGCAGTACTGAGAATTGCAGTTATACACAAATACAAAGTACATGCACATTTGAAAACCCATAACCCATGTTAATAGTATCAAAGCAATCCATGTTCGGATATATTTTTATGTTAGTGACTATTAGTCTCTTGTGTTACCATTTGTCACACAAAACAGAAATTGACATCTATTCAATCAAAATGTCTCAAAATGACTTAGTGAACACTGCCTGGAACATACCAGAAGCTTTTCCAGATCAAACAACCCTTATCAGGACCATATAAATCCTTCATTTGCCAACTCACATGACTGTAAGGTCTGTGACGCCAATGAAACCATTTCACTAACACTACAGACTACCATTCTGTGACTTTTGTACTCAGGCCTCCATGTTTATGGTCCATGGTAAAGCATGACATGCTCGGTGAGCAACATGAAGAAAGTGTGGTAATGAGGTTATGAATTATGACCAGAACAAAAACAGACTCATTCACACAGACAAATGATAAATCTTCAGAAGCTTCCCTCATTTCCTCTCTCTACCTTGTAGTTCGCACTCCTCCACCTCCTCAGCTGAGCCAGAGTCAGACAGGCCCTGGCAGGAGTCCTGAGAGCTCCTCCTGGATCCACCGCTGTCAGTGGAGTGGAAAACTGCAGAGGAGGAATGAGACAAGGGGCAAAACAAAGAATGAGAAACATAAATAAAGAACAGAAATCAACTGTAGCAAATGCCACATTGATGCAGTGAGGTTAGTCTACTGAGGTAGTTGAAAGACTTGAGACCCAAATTGGTGAACTACATGTCATGGATTGTCTTAACTAATCATATACAATATATTAATGGACATGGCTAAAAGTACACATACCAAACCAAATCACAGCGAACCTGGCACCACAATTTTTGAGTAAGTAGCTCTAATAATCTAGTGATTATTATATCTGAAAATATATTTTTGAAAGTTACTAGGACTATATTTTCTACAAATGTCTAGTAATTGAAAGCACATGTATGTATTTGTAAGTGATCAACTAATAATTTCTTAGTCAATGTAGAATCATATAAAGAAAAACGTTGCCTTACTGTGCTGGGAGGCGGCGCAGGGCGGCAGACGGCTGCGTCGGATCTGTTGCCTACGCAGGCGGATCTTCTGTTTGAGCTGCTGAATCTCACAGTCGCTGTCTCCCTCCTCCTCGCCTTCCTCCTCCTGACGCCGCAGGTTGTACTTCATCAGCTCGATGGCAGCAATAAGGGACTCGGAAATGCTGAAATGAGCGTTCTCCTACAGAAGACAGGGAAAATATGAATCAAGCAGAAACTAAGTCTAACTTTTAAGTCATCCAACATAATAAGTTCAACATTATACCTTTTCGAAAGCTTTTATTATCAGCTTTTGCAGAATTTTGGTAGTAAGTTCTTTTAAATACAAATTTGCATATGTAAAGCTTTTTGAACTGCAACACTTTGTAAAGTTAATGATTGATTGATTGGCTGATCAAAAGATCAAAATATCAAAAGACTAGTTAGAATTAGTCATGAGTTCAAATTGACCAACTCCTGACCTTTTCCAGGTCAGCACAGCTGCCAAAGTCCTGCTCTGACAGGTAGCTGATGAGGCTCTGACCCTCCGACGGCTTCCTGAACATACCATCTGAAATGCTGCTGCACTGGGACCCATCTGAAGACACAAAAACACAGAAAAATGTGTGACACCAATACACAAAACAGAAACAGTAAAGACAAATTGTAATGTTTTCATGTATTAATGCATTATTTAATTTGTTATTTAATCTGTCACGTCATAGAAACTGAACAAAATAAAATGCTCTAAGTTTGCCAAAATCCAACTGCACGCTATTATCTAAACCATAAAGACGCAGATGCAGTGAGTCAGATAAGCAGAATTTCACTATAAATACTGTGTCCAATAAAACATCAACCTTTCTATGATCTTCCTGCTCAGGTCCAGAGTGTCACATTTATAGATCAGCTGACGCGCTTGCTACATTCACATTCAGGAACTGAAAACTCAATTTTCTTCAAGAAACATTTCAGCTTGCCTGTCCAACTCCCTCCCATATTTTCTCACATTAACATCTAACAATCCCAGAATAAAAGTTTAATCTACTATTGCAATAATTTGTAAGTGCAACAGGATCTACAACATCAATGTAAAAGCAGAAAAGTCCTGCAAAGTGAAAATCGGAAAACTCACGGGACTCCATGTAGAGGGAACTGGGGGTGCTGGCATCGCTGTGCTGAGGTGAGAAAGGGCTGTAGTCCTTCATACAGCCATCCACTGCCGATTCTGAGAGACAAATAGTGCACGGCCTCTTATCACCTAATTGCCAGAGTCACTAAAATAAACACTTCAATTCTTTAAAATTGATGCGAACATGCATCATTATTCATACACAAAGCAGGTTAAAGGCTTTTTTGACTTTATCTTTGTCTTTGTGTCAAACAATCAATACAATCTATGGAGATGATTCATTTTATTGCATGCAGAAACAAAAACATGACTGCTGACCTTTGTAAGGATTATGACTTGAATTAGTGATGTAGATATTCAGAAGTGATACATATCTATTTATACATTGGTAGAGTAAAATCTTGTACGTACACCCATCAGGGATCATGATCTACACACAGTTTATATGTAACTTCTATGATAATTTAAATAAAACCCTGATAGGTAATTCAAAAAATGTGTGTATGAAGAAAAACTAGCACAACAACAAAAGAGATCAGTCATGGCTTCATCATATCAATTTGACCTCAGTAACAAATAACAAAAACTGTTTAAACACAAATGTCAAACACCAAAATTATGAGCTGAAGACAAGACTTGAAATGAGAAGGATGGAGCGCGTTCATCAGCATGCAGGGGGAATAAGAAAACAGGGGTGGGAGGGGGGGTCAAATGATGGAGCACAGTGGAACTGCACTGCCAACCTGCTACCGGATCTTCTATTATTATGGTGATTTTTCGGTGGCCCCCTCCTTTGCGCAAACAGTAGAAAGAGAGAGGGGAAAAAGAGATAGAGCATAAAGAGAGAAAGTTACCTCAAGCCAAGAAGAATAGAGATGTTGATTCGAAAAACATTGAAAACCATCAGACAGGAAGTGAGCACCTTCCGAGAAAGAAAGTGGCCTACCCACATCTTACAGAGCTATAAATACACACAGACTATGTAGGTGCACCCAAATCTAAATCTCACCTTCATTTTATGCAAACATGCAAGAAAAGGAATACTTAACCAGGGATGTTTCCATCACCTGCAGGAAGCTGAAGGCTCAGGCTAAAGTAATAAATTCCCAGACATTATGAAAATTTAAGCCTGTAGACATGCAGCACACTGAGGATTGAGGAAGAAATAAACCCCCTAATAACTGTGAAAAGCTGCAGTTCACCACTATAGTAAATATGCCGTATATTTACTTTCATGTAACTGCTCTAGGATACCATCCTGATTACACATCAAGAAGGTAAAACTGGACTAGATGCTCAATCATATCTGCTGCAGATTGAACATGAATTATACAGTTTTACTGCACAAATACTTGTGCTTCCAAGATATTTAAGCTAACTTGTTAGCAGACTTTTTGAGGTCTCTCTGATGCTGGAGAAATATTAAGTCTTCAATGAACCTATTTAAAATAAGAAATGAATACAGTTGCTTGTCAACCACTTCTTTGTGAAGTTTTGTTAGCCCCAGCGATTGTCATACAGCTATCGGTTGATGTCCAAGTTTACTTACCGTTCCTGAGTTTCTGATGGATGCCCGTGTCAGAAAAAGAGCGTGTGTGTCCTTGGGACCCCCGACCCGGCCCCCTCTGACCCTCTGAAAAAGATGAGCGCCTCGGTGGAGGTGGAACCACGGAACCCTGTTGCAGGGACTTTTGCTGGGTCTCGCCCTGGTCACTGCTGTGGGTGGAGCTTCGAGAATCACGCCGACTGCGTTGCCCCAGGTTACCAATAGCCAGGTACTCCGGACCGTCGTCATACTCGCCATCACCAGAGTCCCCAGCCTCAGGCTGAAGGGAGGTGGGCGAGGGGGACTCTGTGAGGGATATGCAAGGGACAGGGACAGGGCCAGGAGGGGGCGTCACACCCCGCTCACTCTCCCCAGGCCTGGACACACACACCCAGGGAGCTCCCACGCTGCTGGCTGGAGAGGTAGTGTCTGCAAAACAATAGATTCAACAATAGAAAGGGCCTGCTTCTCTGTCACTCCCTTTTCAATTGCTCACACTTTGCTGAGGGCTTGCTTACAGATCAAAAAGTAACAATCATGTTATAATGTGTTTAGGAAAACCACTCAAAAACAGTTTTATTCATTTTTGTGTGTACAGCTCGTTCGGGACATTGAGTTTAGGAGGATGTATCAACACATTCTTCAATAACTGACCTTGTTTAAAAACAATCAGGCCTCTGTATGGTTAAGTCAGTCAGTCTATTCACATCCAAACTGTAGTGCATTCATAGTGCCATCCCCCCACGCCGCCCCTTGTAGCCCTGTATGTACTGACTACAGAATAGTGACCATTTTCCTTCATTTGATTCGTGTATAACCCTAAAATCTTTGACTAGAGACAACATGATGTCTGTTCCACGCTGTTTTCTGGGATCTGAAATCTTTTTGTGGAAGGACCTTGAAGAATTTCTGTTCTTAAAATCAACCACAAACCTAGATGTGGCAAAATACAAAGAACAAAGTTCCACATTTTAACCCCCATGACCCAAACTGGTTAAGCATTCAGCTAAATAGGAGGAAACTATACATAAAAAGCATAATATGAATAAATCCACAAAACCCATTTGAAAACTACATTTGTCACCCCTCCACCCTCTCCTCACTTGTGCTGTTGCTGTTTTGGGATCCGACTCCCATAGTGTTCCCAGAGTTGTGGCTGGTGGCAACTGCCTCTCTGAGGGAGCAGTTGGAGGTGGTGAGTCTGCGATTTAGAGAGTCTCCTCTGAGAGCTGAGTCAGCGCTCCTCCAAGCCCCTCCAGACCCTGGCAACACACACAGGCTCTGGCTCTTCAACAGGCCCAGACACGGTGGGCCCTTTAGAGGGGACAGCTGGTGGGTGACAAGGAAGAGATAAAACAGGGTAAGGTTAAATCTCAAATGCCCCCCCCTAAAATTGTGAGAACACAGCGACAAAACAAAAAATGGAAAACACAAGTAATAACACATATAAACATTAACAACAAAATAATAATGGATGAGATATAAATGCAGTTAAGTAGAACGACTTTATTCACAAGACCCACCCCAACAGTGTCTACTTGGGCCAGTAGTTTGGGGTTATTCTGCTCCACAGCTTCCAGACACTGGAACATGGCGGTCACATGGGGCTCACTCAGCAGAAAGGCATCATCTGAAAGGAAGAGACGAGGGGAAATAAACAAAAAGGGGTTAGAGAAGATAAGATAATGAGAGATGTGATAAATGAATAGGACATGAGTGCAGACACAAGGAGAAAAGTGAAAGAGAGGAGAGAAAGTCAAACAGAAACAGAGAATGAGGGAACTGAGTAACAAAAAAAGAGTCATTTCAGCTGCTTCTTATTTTATTTTAAACTTCAGACAGACGTCTTCTGGACCCTTACTGTGAAACTCACCATTATAGTATTTACGCGTATGTCCCAGATGCCGGAGCAGAGGTCGGAGTTGAGCCGACAGCATGTGAACCTGTAAGCTGTGAAGTAGCCAGCGCTCGGCCTTATAGCTTTCACCAGCACTCTTCATCCCGCTGCTGAGCACCGGCTCCAGTTGGCTGAACTGAGGACGGAGAGGGAGAAAGAGAGAGAAAGAAAGAAATGTTAAGCATGTTGTGAGAAGAGAGGTAGATGGGAAAGACGTTGACAGGGGTGCAAACAAAAACAAATGTTAGTTATTTGAATATAAAGATATTTTAAATGTTTTTTACAACATTGAAACTAATAAAATGTCACTTTTTCTTTGTCCACACATTTTTTTTTAAGTTAAATAGCATGACAGCCACTATCATGGGATCCTGTTTACTCCAAATATATTGCTGCTTGTGTGCAGCCCAATTAAATATGATATTCTATCTATTCGTCTAAAAAAACTGTGTGAACGGTGAATAGGCTTGACAGTCTAAGCAGAGTGAGCAACGCCTGGAATGAGGAGTGAGAAAACAACATATCAGCACAGATCCCGGAGACAGCGGACCATATATCAACAACCAGTCGTCACATGATGATTACATCATGGCCGAGCTTGCTGTAAGCCCTGTAGGTCAGAAATAGAGAGAGTAATGAAGATAATTAGATTCCATCTACTCCTAAGCCCTTTGTTGTTGTAGTCACAACAATTGAAAGAGGCAACTGGGGTTGAAGGGTGACCGGTCTCCACAACACAAAAACATTGTACATTACAACTTAAGAAAAGAAGGAACTATTGTTTTTGTCTGGCAGACAGACAAAGTGCGTTTATTTTCACAGTCGAACACAATTTAACATGAGGATTAGTTTCCTGCCGCAGTGCCTGGTACAGCCAACACACTGCCAATGCTAATATGAAAATGTATCAGTACATGGATAATACACATTGCTAACAGCCTGGCGACTATGCTTTCACAAGTAAATCAGCAGTTGAAGTGAAATAAAATGCATCATTTGTTGTCTGTCAATATAAATTGCAGAACTGAAACATATCACACCCAACTTAAAGTATATGTGGAATCTGAAAAGGTTCACAGAATTTCATACACTATTTTAAGCTTTGAAACAAACCAAGCAAAAAGATGACTCGTGGTTCGGAGATAAATACAACTGCTGTGCAAAAACTGATAACAACCAGGGCAGAAATTAGCATGGTGACATTTTCAAAAAGGAATTATGTGGCTTATCACATGTGGCTCGTCAGCTTTGCAAGTCAGTGATTATTTTTCCTTTATGTTCAAGAGCAACACTACTAGCCCTAATCACTGATACAGACTGCTTAACAGTGACTATTATTTCTTTAGTTGGTGGAAACCTGGCTGAGATTATGGGTACCACATATTACCTAAATCTTCTGGAAACCTGATAAAAACTGTACTTCAAAGTATGTGCACAAGTCTACCTTAAATGAAAATGAAACAGCTGACAATTAAAATCTGTATTAGAAAAAAAAGACAGTAAGACACAGTAAGACAACAGTAGCAATGTTTAGGGACGTTTAAGAGATTTGTCTGTTGACTAAACTTGAAAAATATATGCATACCACACATACATGCGGCTGGCAGTGACCATACCTGTTCGACGTGTGATGCGAGGTGGGGGCTGATGTAGCGAACACACCACACAAACGGCCAGTAGTCTCTCTGCTTGTAGTACACCTGCAACACAAAACCAGCTGTTAGCATGACCCAGATACAGAGAATACCAGCTTCAATAAACACAATGAGCCTTTATGGGGAGGAAGTGCGCTCCGCTGTTAACCATATTTTAGGAAGTCAACTGACAGTGACTGGTAATACCGGTCTGATAATGTAAATCCTTGTCCCGAAATTGATAAAGTATGATGTGGTATAACCATACTTGACAACCTGTAGATAAGTCAGGAACTTACAGAAACACATACATACTGAGATGGGTTACGTTTACTGGTTTAATTGCAAAACTTTATCTAGGTATCGGAAGTCTTAGCATCTATACCTGCAATCAGATTCACTTCACTTCAACAAAAGCGTCCTGCACTTCCCACTAAAGCAGAATGTGATGTTACAGGTGTAAAATAGGTAATGTGTGAAAAAAGAGCCAACCGATAACGCAGTTTTTCGTCTAATAGTGTGGTATTGTGGTGGGATTATGGGACACACCTTGAATAAATGACTCCTCCATGGTCAAACACATGTTGTTTCTACCATGCAGATTTCAGATTGAACAAAAACAAATAGATACAAAAAAAAGGGGAGAGCGGCACCAGTCAGATCGCAAGAGTTCTGACCTGCTCATTCTTCAGTTCATGGCTCAGGATGTTGTTCATGTCCTTGTGTAGCCGCTGCAGGCCGCCATAACGTGACCACACGTTGGGGTTGTTGGTTGACACCAGACCCTCCACCGTGGTCTTCAGGCTGGACAGCAGCTTCCAGAGCTCCCTTCTGTCAGGAAAACAGGACAGCAGGAAGGAGTGAGGCATGGTGAGGGAGGAAGTTTAGGAATGAGGAAGGACATAAAGAACTGCTGGTGTTAGCAGTGTTGTGGCTTTAAATCATCGCCTGCATGGACAAAAATACTTTTCCCGAAATTAAAAATTGAGTCTTCAGCATTTAAATTGCGATAATCTAGCTTTCCTCTGAGCTCAGTGACTGACTGAGAGTGCTGATCATCAGTAAACGTGTTAGCAGTATCACCGCCACATCCTAGCCTAAATAGATGACACAGTTCACTCCATCCCAATAACCAAACTGTTTACAGGAGTCCAAGTATTGCCTGATAGCAAAGCACAAGCAGAGCTTTTCAACCTATTAGTGACATTTATAATATATATAACCATCATCCTATATAATTCATTAATTCTGTGTGCACATTAAAAGCTTTATAGTTATTTCCTGCAAGCAAGTAAAGTCTAAATGTGGATAACCTATATTGAATACCACAAGTAATGGTTAACATGGTGCCACTTGGCATCAATTCCCATAACTAGAAGATTGAAAACCTGCGCTGAGGGAGTTCAACCTTATCTTGAGGATACGGCTATGGAAGGCTGATGTTCCAAAAATGTCAGATAGAAAACAAAATTATAGCAGGTCACATTCCCTGAGAGACAAAAAGCTCTGTCTCATATCCAGAACTTCCTCATTTTCCCCTTAAGTCAGCAGTGCAGACTTAAGGCAAGCAATGTGACAAAAAAAAGTACCAACAGTTGAGGGTTTTTCTTCAAGTACACGATAACTTAACTGGTCACAGTATACGAAATTATACTTAAGCATGTGGCGTGTACTTAAATGCATTATAATCTATAATAATCAGCCCTCAAAAACATCATTTGTTGCATCAATAGATCAATTAAAATGAAGGTCCAACAATAAATCTAGGTCACAAAAAGTACAACCAACTACTAATTCTTAGAAAGAAAGAGAAAACACATATATAGATATATAGATATAGAGACACTATAAAAGCTATGAATAGCACATTTATGAACCCAGGTCTTTTC